ATCCTTTTACATTTAGAGTTATTATTGAAAGGTGTTGATTTACTCCTAGCATTTTATTGATTTTTGTTTAGATGTCTTAAGTACCTTTTGTTTCTTTCTTCCTAACTTTCTGTTTGTCTTCTGTATTTGTTGGTATCTTGGGGTGATAAATAAACTATTTTTTTTTCTTTATTGTTAGCATTTTTGTTTTGCTGGTAGGTTTTGTTATTTCTTGAGTATACATGACAGTGATGGTTGTTTTCAAGGTATCAAACCCAGTATGTACTTGAGAATTTCTTGTAAGGCTGATCATGTGGTAGTGAACCCCCATAATTTTTTTTTTTTTTTGTCCAAGAAATATACTATTTGACCTTCATTTCAGAAGGATAGTGTTGCTGGGTAAAGTATTCTTGGCTGGCAATTTTTGTCCTTTAGTATTTTGAATATATCATCCCATTCTTTTCTGGCGTTTAGGGTTTCTGATGAAAAGCCTGATGTTATTCTGATTGGGGATCTCTTATAGGTGACTTGCTGCTTTTGTCTTACAGCTTTTAAGATTCTCTCTTTGTCTTTGAGTTTTGCCAGTTTGACTATCACATGTCTTGGAGAGGACCTTTCTGTGTTGAATATGTTAGGGGATCTTTGGGCCTCCTGAGTCTAGAGATCTGTGACTTTCCCTATACCTGGGAAGTTTTCTGCTATTATTTCATTGAATATGCTTTCAATGCCATTTCCTTTTTCCTCCCCTTCTGGAATACCCATGATTTGGATATTTGAGTGCTGAAGGTTGTCTGTTATCTCTCTTAGATTTTCTTCAATTTTTTAAAATTCTTTTTTCTTTTTGGTCTTTTTGGTCTGCCTGCATTAATTCAAACAGCCTGTCTTCAAGGTCAGAAATTCTCTCTTCTGCTTCTTCTAGCTGCTGATTAGACTCTGTTTTGTTTGTTTGTTTGTTTGTTTTTTCTTGAATGAATCCTTCAGCTCCACACTCTCTACTACATTTCTTTTTCAAGGCATTGATTGCTTTGTACATTTCTTCTTTCAGATCCTGTATATTTTTTCTCATTTCATTGTGTTGTCTAACTGAGTTTTCTTGTATCTCATTTGGTTTCCTTAGAATTGATGCTCTAAATTCCTTGTCAGTAATTTCAAAGACTTCCTGTTCTATAGGATCTAGAGCTTGAGAGGTATTATTTTCCTTTGGTGGTGATGTACTTTCTTGATTTTTCATATGTCTGGTATCTTTCCTTTGGTGTTTTGTCATTGTGGCAAAGGGTATCACAGTCCACTCATTTCACCCTGATGTCTGGCTTGGGTCCTGAAGGGACTGCCAATTCTGGGCAGCAGTAACTAGCCGTCTGGTATCTTTCCTTTGGTGTTTTGTCATTGTGGCAAAGGGTATCACAGTCCACTCATTTCACCCTGATGTCTGGCTTGGGTCCTGAAGGGACTGCCAATTCTGGGCAGCAGTAACTAGCCTGGGCTGGGGGGTCCTGTGATGCCCGTCTTTTCCAGAGTGGCTGTCTCAGGGTGTGTGGGCCCCAAGGCTCTTAAGTCTCTCTAAGCAGTGGGACTGACCTGGGCTGGAGGTCCCGCAGCGCCTGCCTTTTCCAGCACGGCTGTCTCTGGGCATGTGGGCCCCGAGGCTATTAAGTCTCTCTAAGCAGCGGGACTGACCTGGGCTGGTGGTCCCACAGCAGCTCCCTTTTCTGGCTCAGCTGTCTCGGGGCATGTGGACCCTGCAGCTCTCAGGCCTCTCTGGGCTGTGGACACTGGCCTAGACTGGGGTCCCATGGCACACAGCTCCTGTCTGTTCTGGCACAGATCTCCTGTCTTATTGATTCATTTTGTTAAATTCCCAGATACAAGATTTCTAAGTCAGGAGTTGACACTCCAGGGGAAGGTTTTTCTACTTATTGCTAAGTTGTCCTCCAGGAGTTATATCAATTTATTTTCCCACCAGTAGGGTCTGAGAAGGACCATTACCTCCAACCTCACCACATTGCACTGATGATTTTTAATGTGCTCCAGGTGAGAGGGATGAGAGGGGAGGAAATTTCAGGCAGAAAGAAGCACATGGAACAGCACAAGGATGTGGGAAATCTCTGCACATTTAGGGAACCAAAGGATTGCAGAATGAGAGGAATATAAAGAGGAAAAGAGGCAAAGAGGAAAGTTGAATGAGCAAAGACAGAGGAGGCAGACAGGGGCCAGATGATGAAAGGCTGAGGAGGTTAGACTTCCTGTAAAAGCCAACAGGAAGCCATTAAAGGGTATTAAACAGGGGAACAAGATGATCTCATTTACATTTAAGAAAAATCTTTCAGACACTGGATTGGAGAAATATCCCTGGAGGCAGGTATTAGAGAACTCCCTCTACTGGGGCAGGTGCTAGAGAGGAGATCACAGGTGCCCTCCAGCCCAGTGAAGGCTCCAGGAATGTGCGGTTGTCAGAAGGGTTGCCCCAAACTCCAGATGATGCTAAAATCAAGGGAATGAAGAGGCAAGAGTTGGTTGAAAAGCTGAAGTGGGAAGTCTGAATGGTCTCAAGCCAAGGAGAAACCCCAGAACACTTATCAAATGCTGGGGTATGGAGCCAGGGTTCAGAGAGCCTGGGAGAAGGGAACAGGGAGAAACAGGGTCACACAAACAGGAAGGAATCCTGGGTGAATCCCTAGAATACATACAATAGATGACCCCTGGCTGTCCTTATAGGCCTGTAAGAGCATGGTGCATGAAGGAATAAACACATTTAAAGGAACAGGGAACAGTCTGGAAGCTGTGGCAAGTTTTCAGGAGACAATGAAAGTATGAACTAAAGCAGCAGCATGACTATGGCAGAGCAAATGGAGACCTTTGATTGTCAAACGTGGTGGTGACTGATAAGATGCAGAAAGAAAGGAAGAGGAGGGGTCAGGGATGACACCCAGATTATGACTGCATGGAATTGCATGGCAACTGCATGGATGGCTGGCCAAGCCGGGGAGAGGACAGCTGGGGGGCAGCTCAGGATGGGGGAGATTGAGCTGGAGATGCTAGTGAACATTCAGTTGGAGATGCCCAGGAGGCATTAGCTCATTCATTCATTTATCACATGCTTGCTGAGCTCCTGCCATATGCTGGGCAATATGGACACTGCAGTGAGCCCACTACGGTCCCTGGCCCAGTCTGGTGGGAGATGCCCAGTCTTCTCCAAGACTCTGTTGTAGAGTAGGCAGTGGGACTTGAGGATGTAAAGCTCAGGAATGAGGAGAGGAGACAGGTGAACAGATAGAAGTGTATAAGCTTCACACAAGGAAGGGGAAGAAATCAGAGCTGAGAACTGACCACCAGACACACTCCCCCCCTGCTTTCTGTACTATGGAGAAAGACTCCACCACCCACACATCTGGCCACCCAATCTAGAAAGCACCTACTTAGCCTCCAGACCTCCCTCTCCCAGACTATCATACTTAAATTATTCTCCATCCCCACAGATCTCAAAGCCATCCCTTCCTCTTGCTCTGCCTCTCACCAGTAGCCTCACGATTCATCTCTTTGCTCCTGGACCTATCACCCTCCATTACATACTCCACGTTGCTGCCAGAGAGAACTTTCCAAAACATAGATCAGATCATGTTTCCCACCCCCTCACCAGAATTTGACAACTTGCTACAGTTTTCATTACTACAGGAGAAAGTTCAAACTGGTTGGCAGGCTGGAGTACAATGCTACTCACCACTTGGCACTTGCCCAGTTTTCCAGCCTTATCTCTAGTCCCTGCCTAGTGCACACTCTGCACAAGGAGCTTCAAGCCTAGTAAGAGAAATAAATGCTCAGTAAAGACAGGAAAAATTGTAGTATGGGACTGCAAAGCAAAGAGCCTCTAGACTAGAGCAAGGAAGACAACACCTTTATCCATGTGCAAACTCCCTTCTCCTGAGCCCACAGCAGACATCACTAATCAATCATCACACCTTCCCTCTGTAGCCAGGTAGGGGCACCAAATTTTTTCAAAGGAGCACGTTATGTATGCACTACCAATTAATTGAAGTTGGTTCAAAGATTTAGACCAGAATCCAGAGAGGAGAACCTTAAAGATGATTGGGATTTCAATAGGTAGAAAATAGGAAAAAAAAAAAAAAAAAAAGGATTTCCAAGCTCAAGAAATAGCACAGATAAAGGCACAAAATTGCATTGCATCCACTCCAGCCCATTTGAGTCTGAGAATGTTCCCTCTGACACAAAACAGATCACTTCTGCAGCAAGGTCCCTGTTTCAGGACCTTTTATGTAACTTGGACAGGGCTAATGAGGCTTCTATCCCAAAAGCTCTTAACATGAGCGTCCTGCCCAATGGATACTCTTTCCTCATCTCTAATGACTTCTTTCTGAATCCTGCCCTGTCAGGAAATATCTGTTGGTAAGGCATCCAAGAGCAATAACTTATGCTGTGTCCAGGAAAATTAGAAATTAATTCAACAAACAAATATGGTGTGCCTGCTGTGTGCCAAGCCTTGGGCTATCTCTGCACAAGCAAAAATACAAAATAAAACAAAACAAAACTTTTAATACTAGTTATAAGTATGTGTTTGTTTGCTTGTTTATATCAGTCCATATCAAAATGATGAAAAACTAGAAAGAATAAAGTTAGAAAGAACATACTAGAGAGAATAACATGGAAAATATAAATAAAAATAGGAAGTCAAAACCCAGGGCAAGGAAAGCACATTGGTGCCATGAGGGCCCACAGCCACATTTGGGGGAGAATGTTGTGTTTAATCAGACTTGCCGCCTTACCGCCTAGCACAGGGCCTGACAACAGGAGGCAGTCCGTCAGTGTATCCAACCTTCAGATTTAGCTCTGAGCTTCCTGGCAGCCAGTGTAAAGAAGGATTTACCACATTGTTTTACATAGCTCACACAATGCATACCAGCTACTTTCTCAAAGTAAATATTTTCCTAGCACCAAGTACTAAAAGAAAGTTCTCAAGTGAGATTTAGTAAAAGAAGGCTGACACAGCCACTGGCTCTGTTTTTCAGAGATCACTAAAGACGACTGCAATGGGACATGCCACACCAGCGCCAAGTAAGTACCATCTGGGCCTCCTTTGGGGATGATGCAAAGGGGGACTCTTTCCCAATAATTTCCACCCAGATCCTACCCTCAAGGGAGTAGTTCTCTGACATCATTTCTGAGGAGTTAAGATAAATTTAAGTATGAAACTAAAAATATCTCTGAAAAGGCCACCATCAACCAGCCAGATAGGTCCAGCCTTTTCAACAAGCCACCATCTGACTTACCTGGCACATTAACAAAAATGCCAGTTGTTACCCTCAGTCCAAGCCACCAGGACTCTCTCATGTAGGTTGAGGAAATCCAGGGGGCTCTCATTTCAGTAAACCATGCCCCCAACTCACAGCCAGGCATCACTTGGCTTCATACTCCAAACTCTCACAGGAGTCAGACTCTTAACTTCCAACGAAGCTTAATGAATTAATTAAGAGTCCCATAGCTGGGGTTAGGCCAGGATTCAAAGTCAGTCTCTGTCATTTTCACTGACTGCATGCCCCCCTGAGTCAACTATTTAATCCCACTAAGCCTCAGTTTCTTTACCTGTAAATGGGAATAATAATATTGACTTGCTAGGGCTATGGGATAGTTTGTAGATGACATAAAGTAATGCACAAAGTACAGCTCCTAGCACATCGGTAGCTCTCTAAAGACTGGCAGCTACCTTCCTTATTGCTGAGTCGGCACCTATATATACACACTCTGTAGTTTGCCAGATAAAAGGCTGCAGTTTTAGCTGCCCTTGGTGGGGTTGTGCCAGGAATGGATGCTTCTCCAAGCCTTAGGCAGGACCTCTGAGTGCCTCATAGGGGCAGGGGCCAGGGTGCTAGAGATGAAGGAGTATTTTAAGTGAAGTGGAGGGATGTTGAGTATTTTCCTCCAAACACCATTTGCCCTTTCTCATTGCAGCTGCCTTCTCAATCCGAATGGCACTGCCTCGTGCAAATGTGCAGCAGGATTCCAAGGGAATGGGACAGTCTGCACAGGCAAGTGAAGGAGTTTGCTGGGGGCAGTGAGGTTTGCACAGCCTGTTGAAAGAGCTGCATTCCTGCAGTCTGAATGGGCCTCCAGAGCTGGTGCCAGCCATTGATGGTGAATTGCATGCAGTGGGGTAGCTGATTGTACCCAAGGACAGAAAACCAACTGTTCACAGATGGGGCATGTTGGTTTGGGAATGGGCAGAGCAACTGGCACCTGTTTAGGGGCGCAGTTTTACCACACTCCAAGCAGTGGTTTACAGCCTCAACTGCAATCAGAATCCCCTGGCAGCTTTAAAACCACTGATTTGATTGTCTTAGGGCATACGTGGCTGGGGCTTCAGGATTCTGGAGTGGGAAAGAGAAAAGTTTGAGCCCTGGTTCTTCCTGGTCTTTTAACTGCTCTGAGCACCCTTAGCTCATTTGTAAAGTAAACTTAAAAATATCCCCCTTGCAGAGTGGTTTTGAGGTTAAATTACCTCTTTGTATACAATGGCAGAGCAATGCAGCTTTTACAAACTCAGCCTCATCAGGCTCCCCCAGTTTGAATCTAAGCTCTTACACTTTATGTTACTTTGGGAAAATTGTTTGACAGCTCTTTGCACCCTTTTTTTTATTTTCAAGTTGGGGATAATAAGAGAAACTCCCTCACTGGGTTGTTGGATGATAACCTGGATTAATAACTGGGAAGTGCTCAGAACAGCCCGGCACATAGCACTCAATAAACATGAGCTAGTTTTCTTATGGTGTATGGAAACCTTTAGTGTCATTTTTCTCTCGAGTGCTATGTCCTGGAAGGCTTTGATCCAGATCATAGCAGTGCTGGACAATAATTACACCAGTCTTCTTCCTATCTTACTCTGGATATTCTCCCAGAATGCCAGTATCCTGACCCTGGTCCCCAGCTATTTCCTGCAGTAGGATGTGTACAGATTGCTGGTCAAAACATCAGGAAAAGGCAAATAACTGGAATATTTTTCTTGCCCTCTGTTTTGGGGAATTAGCCATTTTTAATCTAATGCCTGCCGGAATAGTTTGGAAGAACCTTCCAGTCCTCAATGACACAGGTAAAAATGCATCAGTGGCTTTTTTCCCCTCTTCCTTCTCTTCAGCTCTGTGTCATCTCTCTCTTCTACAGTGATCAACGCCTGTGAGATCAGCAATGGAGGCTGCTCTGCCAAGGCCTACTGTAAAATAACCACCCCAGGAAGCCGGGTGTGCGCGTGCAAGGAGGGCTATACGGGTGATGGCATCGTGTGCCTGGGTAGGTACAAGTCCTCATCCATCCAGTGAAAATGGAGTAAGAAGCCGAGCTCTCTGGAGTGATTCTAACACGTGGGGTCTTATTATCAGGACGTACGGCTGCTGGCATCATAGGCAGTTCACCTGGGCTGGAAAGTATGAGGGTGTGGACATGTGACCACAGGGTCGTATGAAGGTGTGTGATGTCCAAAAATCACTTTGGAAGGAGAAACGGGGAAACGTTTTCCAATTAAACATGGTGGTGACTAGATTTCTAAACTCTTATTAGTTCCTTTTTATACTCACTGTTTAAAACAAAAAAAAAGGCATATGTGATGGGAAAAAATCCTGGAGATAACTGCTCTTATTTTTGTTATATCACCCCATTTTGCTATGTATACATGCATTTTTTTAATGAAAACAGTATGCCCTCAAACAAAGTGTTTACAATGCTAAGCAATATGACAACTTTCCCTGAAAATAAATATACCTCTAAATCATTATTTTAGTGGCTGCATACTGTTCTACTACAAAGGAATACCATAGTAAGTTGTCTAAATTTAATTTTATCTTTTGCCTTTTTTTTTAATGTTTGCAGTGACTTGGAATAAATTTAACTTTTTAGATGGAAAATAAATTAACACAGAAGACTTGCAAGAATAGTACAAAATAGACCCACTTGTTCTTCACCTCCACTCACTTTCTAACATTTCGCCCTGTTTGTTTTATCATTTGCTCTCTTCATATATACACGTATTGCTTTCTAGACCATTTGAGAGTAACCTGTATATATCATATCCCCTTTACCCCTAATACTTGAGTGTGAGTTCCTAAGAGTAAAGGCAGCCTCTTACATAACCACAGCTCAGTTGTCAACTTCAGTAAATCTATTATTGATATAATAATTTTGTTTATCATTCATATTTTAATTTCATCAGTTGTCCCAATAATGTCCTTTGGACATTTTTTCCTGACCCAGTCTAGGGTCTGATATTACATTTAGTTGTCAGGTCTCTTTAGTCTCCTTTAATCTGGGATGGTTCCTCAGCCTTGCTTTGTCTCTTAGGCCACTGACATTTTGGAAGATTATAACTTTTTTTTCTTTGACAGCATGCCCTTTATTTTGGATCTGTCTGATGTTTTTTCATGATTAGACTCAGCTTATGCAGGCCAGGAATGCTCCAGGCCTGAATGTCACACAAGCAAATGTCCCACAAGCAGTATTGCATCCTTCTCAGGATATCACACCACAGGCACACGATTTCCACCTGCCCCTCATCTGTGTTAACTTTGACCACTCAGTCAAGGTGCTGTCTGCTTTCTCCGCCGTATACATTTTTCCCCTTTGCTACTAATAAGCAATCAGTGGGGAGATACTTTAACACCAAGCAAATATCTTGCTCCTCATCAAAATGTCCCCCTAAGTTTAGCATCTATCGATGATTCCTCATGGAATCGATCCATACTGTGATGGTTGTAAATGAGTTTCTTTTGTTTAATATCCAAGTCTCTTCATTCATAGCACGGTTGGGTTGGACTCCAAGATTCTGTTATTTGAGTCCTTTGCTGCAGATGCTCATACTCATTCCCCAGAGGGGCAGATTTAAGGCTGCAGACTGTGCCTCTGCTGGAAGGAGTCCATCCCAGAAGACTCAATCTTAGAAACGCATCTGGTACCCTCCCCATCAGGCTACTTCTGCCTCTGAGGTGTCCCAAACTGACCAACACTTTGACACCTGCCCCCCTCGGCCGGTTAGCCATCCCAGCTAGTCCCTCCAGATGCCTGCTCTCAGAAACAAGGCTTGATCCTCATGCCAGCTGTTGGCTTTTTGTTTTAAAGAAATCGACCCATGTTTGGAGAACCACGGTGGCTGTGACAAGAATGCAGAGTGCACGCAGACAGGACCCAACCAGGTGACGCCTCCTGGGGCCCTTATGTTTCCCTGGAGAAAACTCTTAGGTCTTTAGTCACAGGCCTGAGGGAGAGAGGCTAACAACAGCTTTCTGAGGAGCAGCAGCAAAATATAAATACTTCTGGAGAAATTATGAAAGAATAAGAGGCCATTATTTGGGAGTAAGGAGAAATGGGGGGAAGGAGGAGACAAAGTGTACTGGAGTAGAAGCTTCCCTGGAGTGGGGAGAAGTAGGCACCTGCAAACACTGTGTGGTTCCAGAAGCACCTAGAAGGTCCCCCAAAATGCTCCCCTTTCTTTCAGCTTTCTGATGCCCAGGATCCCACATTTTTTTCTTTGGCTTGGGGCTCTGAAATGCATGTGCCAGCAGAAGGTGGCATTTGGGGCCCTCTGTCAGTCAGTCACATGCTCCCGAACTCAGTGAGCCTGCAGCGTCACTCTGGAGAGCAGGTTTGGGAGGTGGGGAAATGTGAGGGCTCCAGCATCAGAGGGCAGAGGTCGCAGGTAAGAAGACACAGGCGGGGAAGCTGAGGCCTGGAGACCCAAGCTCGGCCTCCCTCAGTCCCTGTCACATGGTGAACAAGCAAAATGTCTGGGAGGAAACTACATACATCCAGAATCAGATGATGAAATAGCCTCCAGTGAGTGTTCCATCAACCTTGTGAAGCCATTCAGAGACCTCAAGGCCAGGTCTCTCAGTGGGCAGATCAAGCAAGTGCCTGAAGTGCTCAAAAATAAGAAAAAAAATCTGCCTTGGAGGAATTGTGTGTGCGTGCATGTGCACACACGTGTGGACACGTGCACACATGTGTGTACACATTAAGTCACGGAGAAAATCAGAATAGTCAACGATGGGCTTTCTTACACATATTTTGAAGTTCATAAAGTTTCTATTTCAAACTACATATGGGATGGGAGAATCTGTAAGCTCTTTGGTGCATGGAGTCTCTACAAGTGTCCCCCCAGACCTTGAAGGCAGCCAGGGGGGACATGGAATTGAACAACGAGGACAAGATCTTAGCTGAGGAGGGGCAGCCTGTGGGCGTCTTGGTAAAGGTTTGAGCCGAGACTGAGCTGTTGTGAAGGAAGAGGAGGAAGAAGAGTGAAAACCTACCCATGTGGCCCTGCTGGCTCCATGAGTTCAGGTTCTAACAAGTGGACATCAGGCCAGGGCATCCACTGCTATGCAGGAAGCTGTCGTGTGATTTATAAAAGTCATTCCTTGGGAGGACACATTGGGAGCAGGTGTGCATCCTTCCTTTGGGTGCACAGCCAGTGACTAGGTGGGCTGGGTTTTGGCCCTGCAGCTGGGCACTCCTGAGCAGAGCACAGGTGACATGGGGGCCCTGTCCCCAACTCCCTGTAGACAGTGTCCCCTCCCTCAACTTGAAGCCCCCAACTGATTTCCTTGGCCAACCAATGAGTGTGACAGATTATTTTCACATGTGCACCATGGTGGGCTGCACAGCCTCTTAGCATCGGTGCCTTTGGGCCCCCGTGGGTGGAGATGAGCAAGATGTAAGTATGAACAGGAGTGGAATATGGCTTAGCTTCCTTTCAGCTGAGCCTTCACCAGTCAGAGAGAGAAAAGAGGTGAGTGCCTGAAGGCAAGGGACCACATAAGGTAAGAGAGTTAAAAAAAAAAAAAAAGAAAGAAAGAAAGTCATCTTGGTGGCAAAGATGGGATGTGTGTGAGATCCCAGTGCTCGAGTGAAGTGTGCCCAATGGCTAACATGTAAGATGACAGTTGTCATTAGAGATACCGCCAATGTCAAATGTAGACTCGCTAACATGACCACTACCACGATAGAACTCGAGTCTGAGAGCCAGTACCGAACCTAGCTGTGAAATGACCCATGTCCCTGTGCCCCTGGGCAGGCCGTCTGTAACTGTTTGCCAGCCTACACTGGAGACGGGAAGGTCTGCACGCGCATCGACGTCTGCTTAACCGTGAGTATGGGCGGCTTCGGGGCGACGCCTGCACAGCCTCGGGGCCTGGGCTGCCTCCTTCCCGCTTCTGGAGTAGGCAGAGCTGGGGTGATCTCACTCCTGGAGGCCTCAGCGCTGCTTCATTTCCCCTTTATGTTCCATGCTAATACTGGAGAGAAAAGAGAAAAGGCTTAGGATCCCGAGCGGACCCAGGTGTACATAGCTGTTCAGGGAGTCACCTGAACGTGGCTGGGGCAAGTGCCTGGAGGCCAGCTGGATTCTCAGCTTCCTGAAGGCAGGCCGTGTCAGCCAGAGCAGGGTCTCGCTAAGTAGCCCTCGTGAGTCAACTAACAGGCTGTAACATCCAGTCCAAAATCTGGTTTCCTAACCATGGTGATTGGGTGATTGAGTACTGACATCCATTACCTGTTTTTTTGTTTTGTTTTGTTTACTCTGTACGTAGCTTATGGAGAGAGGAAGAAAAGGTCAGTTAAAAATTATCATCACGGAATATAAAATGTTACAGTCTGGAAAAGGCAAAACTATGGAGCCAGTATAAAGATCAGTGGTTGCCAGGGGCTGGAGGGAGAGAGGCATGGAAAGACAAGAACACAAAGAACCTTTAGGGCCATGAAACTACGCTGATAATATAATGGTAGATTTATGCCATTACACATTTGTCAAAATCTATGCAATGTACATCATGAACCATGAGCCCTGATTCACAATATGGACTTTAATATCAATACTGGTTCATCGATTATGACAAATGTACCACACTAATGCAAGATGTTAATAACAGGAGAAACTGGGGTCGGGGTGGGGTGGGCTGGGCTATAGGGATATGTAGGAATCTCTGTACTTTCCACTCAATTTTTCTGTAAACCTAAAACTGCTCTAAAAAATAGTCTATTAACTTAGAAAAGTAAGGGCCGGCCCGGTGGCGCACTGGACAGTGCGCCGCTTTGGAGCGTGGCAGCACTCCCACCGAGGGTTCGGATCCCATGTGGAGACCGGTTCCCGCTCACTGGCTGAGCGTGGTGCAGGCGCAACACCGAGGGTTGCAATCCCGTTGCCGGTCCCCGGTACGGGCGCGACACCGAGGGTTGCGATCCCGTTACCAGTCAGTAAAAAAGACAAAAAGGAAAAAAAAAATTAGAAAAGTGAAACTGCACACGCACAAATATTCACACAGAAGTCAGTTGTCAGTTCATCTTCTTTGCAAAATGTGTGTGTGTGCGCAGTTTCTACTATTCCAGGGTGGTTTTTTCCCAACTTGAGCTATAAAAAAGGAATGCCGTAAGATAGCATACAGTTTTTTAAACAGTTCATTATTTAGCTCAGATGTGTGTTTTTCCTTCATCAGTGGAAATTTGGGAGAAACCTCAGACCCCAGTAGCATGAATGTCATGACCTCTATACAGACATGTCCAACACATTTTCTCAGCTCAGCCACAGCATGTTGAGCTACATCTATCCACGTGCTTATCCCCCATATTGCCAGTTCTTATCAAAGAAATCCCTCGCCCCACCAAGCCTGTCTTTCGCCTCTGAGACAAGGCTCAAGACTCATCTCCTCCAGGAAGCCTTCCTAGATTGACCCCACAGCAGCTTTCCCTTCCATATTCTCCTGTGCTATATAAAGAGGAATCCACAGTGAGTGCTTTTCAAGTCAACAATATGGTGTCGCATTCCACAGGCCGGTTCTGTCCTAGTAGAGACCTAGTTGCTAGACTAACGAAGGAGATTCAACCCTCGCCATACAACTACCCTCCCCGGCCCCCACCACCACCGTTCTACATGTCAGCTCTACCGTATAGTAGAGGACCCGGTTCTAGGCCCCCTGCACTGAGCAGGAGCTAGTGCGGGTGGAGACACCTCCTCCCCCTCCCTGTCCACGGACACATCACTGATCCTTCCAGTTGTCTTTCTTACTAAAGAGGAGTAGGGGCGGGGGGCAGAGGCTGCTATCAACATTTCAAGGATTGTCTTGTGACACCAACGTTGTTCTTGTTCTGTGTGAGCTCAACCGGAGGACTAGGATTTGTGAATAGACAGTAGAAGAAAACAGATTTCTCTGAAATCAGGGTAGAACATTAGAAGTGTCCAGAGAGATAGTTGGGGAAGTGATAACTTATCATACTTCAAGGTATATAACCATAGGAATAAAGCAACAGATGTTCATCATCCCAGATGACCACCGAGGTTCCTCGCAGCCCTGATTTATACGACTCTACGGCTTTGAGCTGATTGCTTCTCTGAGCCTCAGTTTCCTTGGAAGTTCATGGATGTCCCTGGATCCCTTTCAGCACAACAATCTGGGCTTTTACCTTCTCCTTCCAGTCTACAGCATGGAGTTGACACACTTCTTGTCACTGTGCTCATGTCAGTCCTGGGAGGAGGCTCCCTGAAAGCTGTCTTCTGATTCTCTGACAACCCTCGGCACAGACTAGCTCCATGTTATGTAAACCAAGTAGGAGCCTTCTCGGTAACTGATCACTAAGTGTCAAACTGGGCAAGTTATCTACTGCTGCTCAGAGCCTAGTTTCCAGGCTTTATACCCCCAAAAGGATAAGATATTCTGTAAGCCCACTGTCCTGGGTTGGCACATCTGGGCCACTTAGCATGGCCAGCAAGGCCTCTGAAATCCTGCATCCATGTGACATTTGTAGCTACTGCTTACCAGGGGTCAGTCACTGTCAGTCACTGTGGTAGGGGTCCCCATGAATTCTCTCATTTAATTCCTCTAACAGCCCCATGAGGTAAGAATTATTATTAACCCCATTTTACTCCAGCTGAGTCAAATTCTTTTCCTAGGGATGCTATGACAAATTACCATGAACTGGGTAGGTAAAAGCAACAAAAATGATCTTCTCACAGTTCTGGAGGCCCAAAACCCAAAATCAAAGTGTCAGCAAGTACTCCCTCTGAAGGCTCTGAGAGTGGGTCCTTCCTGCCTCTTCCAGCTTCTGGTGGCCCCAGGCATTGCTGGGCTACGGCCACATCACTCCGATCTCCCCTCCATCTTCACATGGACTGCTCCTCTGTGTCTGTGTCCTCTCCTCTTCTTATAAGGACACTTGTGGACTTAAGGCTCACCCTGTTCACCTAGGATGATCTCATCTCAAGATCCTTGATCGCGACTGTAAAGACTCTGTTCCTAAATAAGGTCACATCCTGAGCTACTGGGGCCTAGGACTTGGACACATCTTCAGAGGACCACAGGTCAATGACTACAGGCTGGCAGGAATGGGGGTCCTTACCCGAAGCCACCTACCGCAAGGACACGGCACAGTCAGAACTTGAGCCCACATCCATCTAACTCGAGGCCCGCGCTCTTGACCACTTCTGACGGTGCTTGTTCTCCCTGCAAGGCAGGGATGCTCAGAGGAGGCCCAATCCCAACACTTTGCTTCCCTTAATTATGTCACTGCCCACCTGAGAGCCACCAGCGGTAGGCATGACAACACTTTCCTCTCCAAGTAAGGTCCCTATTGTCTCCTTGTGTTGGTCTGGAAAGTTCCTTGACAGAACAATGTCCCTACAAGGAACAATTTTGTGAGGACAGTAAGGGAAAAGCTGCAGAAAGCAAGGGGGTAGGGCCTGGGATTTGGAGCTTTTACAACTAGGACTATGGCCAGCTTTCTTATGACAGTAGCTCTCCCATTGACCATTTCTGTTTTTTTAAAATATGGTCATTTTGTGTTGGCCAAAAGATTCCTGGTACAACCGATCTGGGAAATTCTGGAGACCCCTTGCTACCCTCTCAGCAGCACATCCCTTTAGGAATTAACTCTCTATTCCAAGATCATAAACCTCAGGCCAAGGGACCAGCCCGTGGCTCACTCGGGAGAGTGTGGTGCTGACAACACCAAGGCCACGGGTTCAGATCCCTATATAGGGATGGCCAGTTAGCTCACTTGGGAGAGCCTGGTGCTGACAACACCAAGTCAAGGATTAAGATCCCCTTACTGGTCATCTTTTAAAAAAAAATAAAAAGTAAATCTCAGGCCATCAGAGCCAGGCGGGAATATCAACAGGGCGTTCCGAAGCGTAATGCCGCTCTCATGCAGCAACGTCTACACAGCTCCAACTCACTGCTGCTCTGACAAATGCCAGCCCAGTGCTGGCAGTGCTTCTGATTTTTTAAGAGAGATGGAAATTTTTATGAATTTTTATGTAAATCTTCCCAATTTTTAAATGATGGCAATTAATTCCAAAAAAATTATTTTAAACACTAGGTTAAATAAACAAAACCATCATGGAGCTAAATCTGGCCCAAGAACCACCAATTTCTGCTCAAGAGTCACCAACAAGGGCCAGGATATGGTGCCTTCGCTGAGTTAGTCCCCTGCTCCAAACTGTCTTAGTCTCTTAAGTGCTGCCAGCTGGACTGGGGGCCAGGGGGGCCAAGCAGGTGGGTGGGAATGCCGGTGAGAAAAAGCAGGAAGAAGTGGGCGCAAAGGAGGGGATGTCCCTGTGCATCAAAGGAAGTTGGAAAAGCAGTGAAGAAGAGGCAAGATGAAGTGATAAAAGTTGGTGGTCAGAGACAGCAGGATGCTTTCAGTAGCCGTCCACTTTAATGTTGATTAAAAAGTCAGGGGGTGGGGCCAGGCCCCTGGCGCACTCGGGAGAGTGCGGTGCTGGGAGTGCAGCAGCGCTCCCACCGCGGGTTCGGATCCTATATAGGGATGGCCAGTGCGCTCACTGGCTGAGCGCGGTGTGGCCGGTCTCAAAAAAAAAAAAAGTCAGGGGGTGGCCAAGGGGGTGGGGGCAGGGGTAGCAGCGGCCATTGTCAGAGATGGTGACACTGCCAAGGCTGATAACAGGCATGGAGGGGAAGACAGGGACCCAGGTGCCACCATTAGGAACACAGAGGAAAAACTGGTAGGGGGTTGTAGATACCATGTGCTTCCAGGGAGCTGGGGTCTTTCAAGGATGAGGAAGTAGAGATGGTTTGGAAGTGGCAAAGTACAGAAAGAAAGACACTATTCCAGCCCCAGACCATCAAGAGTGGGGGCAGTGGAGGAAAACAGAGCTTCCCTTGAGGAGTGCAGGGAGACATGTTTGCAGGAGACAGACACCTCTGCAGTGAGAGGTGGAGAGAGCTTCCTGCGAAGAGCTTGAGAACGTTGGAGAGTTTGCTAATGTCAGTGAGCTTCAGAAAGCACAGGCGAGGGTTCGTGAGGACAGGCCGGGGGGATCTGGGGTCAGGGGTGGGTGTAGGGAGCAGCGTGGAGGCGAGTGTCCATGTGGTGAGCGTTGCCATGGATGTTGGCTTTGAACTGCACTTCACTTTGCTTGTATTTTACTTCTCTGCCCCATCCTCCACGGCTTATAAGCTCTTTGAGGGCAGGGACAATATGTTCTATCTATTTTATACTGACTACCTTCTGTCTGGTGACTGTTCCCATTCCTATGATCAGATCAGAGTTTAGCTTAAAGCTGGGAAGTGTCCAACACGATTGGTGCCTTTCTAGTTAAAGCCCAGATGCTGACAGGTTTCCAATTTGCAAGTCTGGGCTTATCTACGAGGGCTGGAGATCTGCTCGGAGGGGTCCTGCCATGTTGGGATAAGGGTGGGTAAGATGCCCCTGTGACCACAGGGGAAAGTTCAGGAAAAGGGCAAACAATGCCAACTAATCAAAGTTAGAGAGTGAGACAAAAAATAAATTTCAACACAGAATTGCTTTGCAAGTATTGACAGAACTGACAGACTAACTGGTCTGACCCCCTTCCCCTGCCCCTTGGCAACTTTACCAGAAAAATGGCGGCTGTAGTGAATTTGCTGTCTGCAATCACACTGGACAGGAAGAAAGGACTTGTACCTGCAAGCCAAAGTACATCGGAGATGGGTTCACCTGCCGTGGCAACATCTACCAGGTAACATGAGACACGTTTCCATAAGTAAACTCTATTTCCTTAACTATGACAAGAATCCAGGTAACTAAGGAATATGCGAGAGCTCTGTAAAATGTAAAAGTCTATAACTTTACAATAGCAATGTGAAAGGCTATTTTTATATAAATTGGCAAATTTTGTCTACCCATGGGAATTCGTTTGACCTGGAAAAGAGTACAATGTAGTGATTAAGATCAACCGATGATTCTGGTGTCAGAAACATCTGGATTTGAATTCAGTTCTGCGAGTTTGCAACGTTGTGACTTTGGGGGTATTACATAACCTGTGTATCAGTTTGCTAACCTGTAAAAAATAATAATAATGGTACCAAGCCCCTCAGGTTGTTATAAGAATTAAATGAGATGATGTGTGTAAAAGACACAGAGTGCACAATAACTCAAAGGCCTGGATTGCTGTTGGAGTGTGTGTGTGTGTGTGTGTGTGTGTGTGTGTGTGTGTGTGTGTGTGTGTGTGTGTGCACGCAAGCCTATACTGGGCACAGAGGATGAGACAATATGATACTTGCAGATTTCTACCTATGAGAAAGTAAATATCCTGTTATTTGGTTTAAAGAGGGACTGGAGCATTTTGGCTGGTCAAATATTCTTGTTAATAGAGTAACCAAATTGCCATAAACCTATAGTTGATTTAAAATATTGAACTTTTAAAAATTCTGTTAAAGCTCAGGTGCTTCTGAAAATGAATGAACCTTATTGTCTGATAAATGAGATGGCAATTCCAGTAAAGTTTTGGAACTCGTGCTGAGTTCACATGGTCATTCTGAACATCACTTGTAAGCATATAGGAAAGACTTAGAAAAGGCCCATTGTTGCAGATTTCCAGTTGAAGAAATGGCAGATACTCATGACCTTAGAAAAATCATCCTGCAACAACCCTGTCTTGTTCTTGTATATAATTCACAGTCATTAAGCCAAACTACCCTGTCTTTGTTTGCAGGAGCTTCCCAGGAACCCAAAAACTTCCCAGTATTTCTTCCAGTTGCAGGTGAGAATATGCGTGACTGTCTAGCAATAAGAGCTCGGTCTCCAGCCAGATACAGGATAAACCTGTAGCCTCCAGAGTTGGTGAGGGTAGAAATAAGTCTGGGACTCTGGATTTCTGGAATTTTCTACATAAGAATGTAGTATATGAAAAAACTCCGTTACATCAGCAGAGAAAAGAAGCATTACTGGGGCAACTAGTTTGATCTTTCTGTGCATCATACATCTGAATAAGTTCCAGACATATTGAAGAATAAACTATTAAAAACTAGAAGAATAAAATCATTAAAACCTAGAAGAAAAATAAATAACCATAGTAACCATATGATCTTAGAATTGCAAGAAGACAATTATAACAGTTAAGTAAATCATCTTTTTTTTATATTTGTATCATCCCAATTACGTAAAATACTAATATACAGAAGAGACGTTGGAAAAGTGAAAATAATAGGAGTTGTTCTACGTGGTGGGATTATGGGAGTAGTTATTTTCTTCTTTATGCTGTATTTTCAAAATCTTCAATACAATCAGCATGTGTTAATTTTATAATCAGAAAAAAACAAACCATGATTTCAAGGGCAGTGAACCTGCAATTTATTTGAATCCAAGACCAAAACGCAGGTATCCCCATCCAGTTTCTGCTCTGCTCTGCCCCATCAGCTCTCCCTGGTATTTGTATAAGCCCCTGCCTGTATTTATGTTATTTGTGAATTTATTTAACAGTATCTGAGTCAAGTAAGTGACGCATTGGCCCCGCCTTCTTTCCTGCAGGAGCATTCCATGAAAGAACTGGTGGGCCCAGGCCCCTTCACCGTGTTTGCGCCTTTATCTGCAGCCTTCGATGAGGAAGCTCAGGTAAGCATGAGACAATGGGCAGGGGGAGGAGGTTTGGGGCTAAAACACAGTCTTTGGGCCTCACTCTGGAACCAACACTGAAGATGTTTCAGGCAAGAAATTGAGGATCAGGTGGAGCTGACCAGCAAAAGAAGGGGCTGCCTCTCAGCACAGGGACCTTTGTCAGGTAGATTTGGGGTAGCCACTGGCCAGAGATCTTCTAAAGAACATTCCTAACAGGATAAGGGGTTAGAGAAAAGATTAACAGTTCTGAAGTGATCCAAACTTCCCAGCGACAAAATAAAGGGGAGATTGGGGGGAGGCAGATGCTGAATTAAAGGGATTTAAATAGGTCTTTTCTTGCAGGACTTATCAGAGTCTTTACTGTTCTAATATTCATTGGGGCTCATCATGCTGGATTACCCATTAATAATAATAATAATAGCTAACATAATAGCTAAGAATACCAGACGCTGTTCTGAGTGCCTGGCCTAGATGAACTCATTTGGTCCTCACAACAACCCTGTGAGCTGAGTGCTATTATTATGCCCATTTTACAGTTGAGAACATTGAGGGAAGTAGCTTTCCTGAGGTCACATGACTAGCAAGTGGTGGAGTAAGGACTCGAACCTTGGTCTGTGCTCTTAACCACTACACACACTGCCTCTCTATGCACATACTTTGGGTACCAGCAAAGCAGGAGCACAAAAATAATTTTTAGAAGTATTTGAAATTTGATAATTCAAAAAAAGGTCATCAAAGGAGTTATCATAAAACAATGAGAACTTTGTGGGTTTTTTATGACACTTCCTTTATGGTTAACATTGTTTGTATTTTGAATTCCAAATGGAGATACGTCATGATCTTTTCCAGTACAAAAGGTTTAAATCCGGCCCTGGTATCTCTCCAAAAGGGGGGTATACTATGCAGTGTTTTCCAGCATACTGCACGGGAAAATTTGTCTTTCGAGAAACATCTTACGGAACTTGGGGTCCTTGCAACAAGGGTTGCGAAATGCTGGACTAGAGGAAGTCCACGTTTCCTTCCACTCTGAGATTCTGTAATAGAGGCAGGAAAGGAACTAGGGCCACTTTCTCCTGTAACCCTGAGCACAGACCAACTCTGACTGCCCACGTCCCAGAGTCTGGGTGGAGAGAGACGTGGGTGGACCGGGGGGAGGGACAGTACGGAGGGAAGGAGAGCAAAAGAGAAGGTGGCAGCACAAGGCTGCCTCTGGGAGAACCCTCTGATCTCCTATTACAGATTAAAGACTGGGCCAAACAGGGCCTCATGCCCCAGGTTCTTCGGTATCACGTGATCGCCTGCCACCAGCTGCTTCTGGAAAACCTGAAATTGGCCCCAAATGTTACTTCCCTCCAAGGGGAGCCAATTGTCATCTCCGTCTCTCAGGTGAGAGAGGCCTCCTCAGGTCATCTGTCTGCTGCTTAGAGTAATGCCAGTAATAATAGTAACTAATGTATGTTGAGTGATTTCTGTATGCAGGACTATTCGAAGTATTTGATATGTACTAACCCATTTAATCTGCAAAATAACCTCATGATACAGATACTGTTATTATCCCCAGTTTCTGAATAAGGAAACTGAGCTCAGAGAAGTTAAGTAACTTGTCCAAGGTCACACAGCAAATAAATATTAGAGCTGGAACTGAAACTCCAAAAGTAGGGCAGCTCCAGGTGGTCAATAAAACTGCTTTTGACATCATTGGTCAGAAGTTGAAGAGGGATGAATGCTTTTAATTAAAGCCAGCTGACCATGCTGGTCCTGTCCCTCCCAACATAAAAACAAATGGTGGCTGTAGAATTCATTGCAAAGAGAAGAAAGTGTGTGTTGGGGGGTGGGGGGTGGAGAACAAATATGAAAGAGAAGTCAATTTTGAGCTGCTTGTTTATGTCATATTTGCAAACCACAGTGAAATGGTTGTTTTGATTGACTGTATATTATTTGCTATTAACTTCTCCAGGTGGAAATTACATTCTTGTCTCAATTTTCTTTCTATAATCATAATTTTAAAAATGTGCTCAGTTTACTCGTATCTACAAATTTCGCACCTGATGATTTAACATGTTGGTGAAGCGTTCTATGAGAAGATTTTGTGTCTATTTCTCTTTGTGCTCATTTCTCTTTTTCTTTTTTGGTTGATTTCAGGACACTGTGTATATAAATAACAAAGCTAAGATCATATCCAGTGATATTATCAGTACTAATGGGGTCATCCATATCATAGACAAATTGCTGTCTCCACAAAACTTGCTGATCACCCCCAAAGATGCCTCTGGAAGGATTCTGGTAGGTAAACTCACCATCGTACTCTCAGTATGGAGTGACTCAATACATTATCATCTCAATTCTGATTTTGAGGCATTATTCTGAAACATTTTAATTTTGCTGCTTCAATCTCGAGCTATCACTAAAAGCCTAGTACACATTATCCTTCATAAGAAGTAAATACGTAAAAGTCTACTTTAAATCAATAAGTGGACTTTATAAGTTTTTCTTTTGGGTGGTCTTGCATAGATTTGGAAGATGGAAAAGATAAGATACATAGATATGTAGATACATACATAGAAACATAGAGATAGATACATAAATACATAGATACATAGACAGATACAGAGAGAGAGAATCACAAAAACTAAACCTGGAGTAAAACTCCTTCTCAATTGACAGAAAAGATCATTTTAACTTTTATTGTTCTTTATTAGTATCAGTCAAGATTCTTTATTGCAGACCACAGAATCCACTATACTTAGCTTACACAAAAAGGAGTTTCTTAAGATATTAGGTACATCATCATATCTCTTGTAAGGCCAGAGCATAATATAGATGTTAAACACCTGGGAACAAAGCAGCCCAAGGATGCCTGCAAAGGGAGGACAGCTAACCTCACCACAGGGCTATTCTGGCTGTAACTGCCATGCCATTGCCACCTGTCTCCAGCCTCACCACCTAGGATACTAGAGACTAGACAGCAGATGCCTCCACTATTGTGTTTGCCAGGTCTGAGCTCCCTGCTGGCAGCCGCTACCACTTCACATTGTTTCTTTCCACCAACGAGTCCTGCACAAGTGCTTCTGCTTGGTGGACCCTATATCACATATGGGGCTCCAGCTGCAAGGGAGTCTGGGAGAATGGAATGCTTAGCCTTCCATCCTCTGTAATTCAGAAAACACAGGGAGAACAGAGCTAGAGTGGGTGCTGATGAGCCACTCTGCAGTACCTGCCATGTTATTTCACCTTTATTTTGTTCAGTTGAGCCTTTGTTAAGGTACTTTGTGAACTGTACAAGGAAAGGTTCCATGCCCGTTCTTATTATATTTGCAGCAAAATCTTACGACAGTGGCAGTAAACCATGGCTACATCAAATTTAGCAACTTAATACAGGTAAAAACCTACGGGGAAAGTTGACTGGGGATAACCTGCCTAAAGGAGCTTTGTTTTGTTGTGTCTTGTTATTGTTTTGTTGTGTTTTTGCATCAGCAAGCTGCGTGGGATGTGTGTGGAAAATCCTAATTTTTTGCACAACAAAGTCATTCTCTGCCTCTATTCTCAAAATGTTGTGTGGTTTGTTGAGCTATATAATGTGCATTGGCTGAGTTAGAAATTGAAGTATTTGAGGCTGAAGAGAGGGAAAGAAATTGGGATGTGCCATTCCCTGCACTGGGTGCTTCACATCAGGAATCATCAACTCCATTATCAAGATGGGAAAACTGGGGTGGACAGTTGGGGAACCTTTGCCTGTGAGACAGGTAGAAATTGGATTTAAAACCAGATCTTTTTGACTTCAGAGACTGTTCCCACGAATCAAGTAGAAACTTCTTGTTCAAACAAAAGACTGCTGAGGAGAATTGGGGAGGAGCAGGCCCAGGGTCCTCCTGAGGCTCCCCTACCCCCGACCCTGAGCAGTTCCTGAAGAGGTCTAAGACCGCCAGAGTCCCCCATAGTATAGTCTATAAATCTCTGTGTTAGACCAGCAATTCCCAAAATGCTCTAGGTCTCAGACTCTCTGGGGAGATTTATAGAAATGAGGATTTCAAGGTATTGAAAATGAGACTCTCCAAGGATGTTACAGTCAAGTAATCTTTGCCCACCTACTCACCCCAAAATTTTATTGTCACCCCACACCTGTGCATCAGGGTCTGGTTGAACACAGTCTTTTAGAGCAAGTTAGCAAACCTCTCTGAGGCTTGATAAAAGGGGATAATAAAGCCTACTTCATAGGGTATTTCAAAAATAAAGGAAAAAAGTCTATATGATGCACCAGGTTATGGAAGACTCTCAAAATGATCCCACAATTCATTCCACAATTTTGGGGGGGGACATGTGATCTAGGAGTCTTATAAATATACATGAGTATCTTAATGTCATACAGGTTCCACTTTTTAAAATGAAATGAGAAAAATGCTAAGCCAGTCTTCCAGAAATTAAGATATTTGGGCAGGAGTACTATCAAAGAAAAAAAAATACTAAAGTTTATTTTCCTATTAACAAAAGCCCAGAATTTGACTTTCTGATTTGCTTTCTAAGGGAATGAGGGTCAGAAAGGCTGGAGTGTGACAGCCTCTAATTTCTGGCTGTGTCACCCTTGAGCCATCCGGAGTCCCTGTAAACCATGGGGTGGGGCACGGAGGGGAATCCTGAGAGAGAGCCTCGGCCCACGTGGCTGGCCTCGCTGCACGGCTGTGCTCGCACTGGCCAGGGGCTGACTCCCTGTGTTGCAGGACTCGGGCTTGATGAGCGTCATCAGTGATCCTATCCACACCCCGGTCACTGTCTTCTGGCCCACGGACCAAGCCCTCCAAGCCCTACCGCCTGACCAACAAGATTTCCTGTTCAATCGAGACAACAAGGACAAGCTGAAGGAGTATTTGAAGTTCCACGTGATCCGAGATGCCAAGGTATTTTGTTTAAACACAGAAATGAGCGCAGGGATGTCCCTGGGGATGATAAAATCCAGCACGCAGACATGGTGACCCAGGAACTGTCAGGTGACCCCATCTCCACAGTGGGAAGGAGGCCTCAGCGTCACCTGCCCCACTGTGTCCTCTTCCAACTGGCCGTGGTTCGTTGACCCCTGCAGGACACCGTGCCTGGTTTTGTTTCTGGACCTGCCGTTGTTATTTCCTCTTGTACAGCAGAACAGCCTTGCTCTTTCCTAGTTCACTTGGCAAAATAGCTGCTGACAACAGTTCCAACTTTCTCCAGATGGACTCTCCTAATTCCAGAATCTTTAGGCAGCTGACTGTTTAGTCCAGCTTCAGTTTTCACCCTCTAACCAATCAAATGCATCAGAGAAGCAAGACCGTGCAGGAACACAGCTGCCACCCTGAGTCCTCTCAGGATTCACGTTTCTCCCCAAGACAGACAAGATCCAGTCCAAGAACATCAAATGCCCGAACTTCGGTTCATTCATATTGCCTGGATTCATTTCCTGCGGCTGCGGTAACAAATTACCACAAACCATGAGGATTAAACAACAGCAGTTTATCCTCCGTAGTAAACAGTTCTGGAGGCTAGACAACGGAAATCAAGGTGCTCTCGAGGTTGTTCCTTCTGGAGCTTCTGAAGGAGAATCTGTCCCATGCTTCTCTCCTCACTTCTGCTGGTTGCTGGAAACCCTTGGTGGTCCTTGGCTTGTAGGTGCATCCTCCGATCTCTGTCTCCATTGTCACATGGCCATCTTCTCCCTGTGTGTTTCTGTGTCTTCCCATGGCTTTCTCTTATTTCTTCTTCTTTTAAGGACACCATTCATATTGGATTGAGAGCCCACCCTACTCCAGGATTACATACCTCATCCCAACTAATTACATTTGCAATGACCTTATTTCCAAATAAGGTCACATTCTGAGGTTCTAGAGATCAGAACTTCAACATAACTTTTGGGGAGGCACAATTCAGCCCAGGACAGCACCCAAGGTCATTTCTCAGCCTAACCCACTCATTCATTCATTGGCTTTGTACACCAGGACAGTATCTTCTGTGGACTCCCCAGTGGAGATGGGGGATGGAAGGGAAATTGAACCCAGGCCAGCTGGTCGAGACTTTACCTCCAGAAGGAATTTCCACACTCCTAGAAGGCCCATGGCTACTCTTCATTTTGATGATATCTACAGTCATGTTAAAGCTGGGATTATAACTTGTGGGAAAACTTGCATCTGAATTTGGTTGATTGGTAAATCTCCTTCGAGCCTTTCTTCAGCCCAAGTGTGGGGTGTTAATGTTGCACCTTGGCTCCTATAGGTTCTAGCTGTGGATCTCCCCAGATCTGTTGCCTGGAAGACCCTGCAAGGTTCAGAGCTGAGTGTGAAGTGTGGAGCTGGCAGTGACATCGTAAGTGACATCACAGGGGGTGGGGGAGGGAGGATTAGAAACACCTAATGGCAAGCCATTCCCCAACCACTGCCCCTTCAAGGAGATGTTCATTTTTGTCCTCTGCTGACAGCAAGCTTGCCTTCAGAGGTGTTTTCTCTGAAAGTACTTAAGTCGATACAAAAACCTGATGGATTCTGGCCAACCCAAGACCTCATAGCAGGTGGCAAGAAGCCTCTTGCACTTGTGGAGAGCAACTTCCGGTTGACTTTTTTCTTTTTTTCATACAGCATTTATTTTCCAGTGTGATACCCTTCCCTGAAGCAGGAAAGTACACTGTCACTTCTTTCCCTTCCTCCCAGCCCCACTGTGGCCTCACCTCCAGCCCTCTCAGCAGTCAGAGCTAGCTCTGGGCTACACCTACCTAGATCAGCCAACAGGAAGAAGGTTTGCAATTTTCACCTTCACTGGCTTGTTCCTGAATGTCTGCATTCCCATAATTTCATATGGCGAATGGATCTGATAGGATTAGTTCAACTGTATATAATCAATAACCCAAAATGACAGTGGCTTAAATATATAAGGATCTATTCTCTCTTGCAAAAGAAATCTGAAGGTAGCTGATCCAGAACCAGTATGCTGGCTCAATGGGGGAGCTCCTTCTGCCTTTCTGCTCTGCAGCACATGGTTCCTACCTCAAAGTCACCTCAAGATCCAACATGGCTGCTGGAGATCCAGCCATCCTGTCCACTTTCCAGGCAGTAGAAAGGAGCAAGAGCAAAGGGGTGCATCTCCCAGCTGAGTTATTCCCTTCAAGAAGACTTCCAGCAAGTCCCACACAACATCCTGCTTGCACCTTCTAACCAGAATCTCTTTGGTGTTTGGATTGGAATTGCATTGAATTTATAACTGAATTTGAGGAGTGTTAGCATCTTTTCATTCCAGCTTCTGCAGAGTTCTCCCAATCTACTTACACCCTTGAGATCATCTGGAATATCTCCATAGACCAAAGTGGACACCTGTCAAAGAAGAATGCCCACTGCTCGTTCTGTGTGCTAGTAGAGCTTTCAGAGCACTTCACAATATAGTGTTTAGTTTGACGTGTGTAACAGCCCTAGGCATTAGGAATCATTAACTCTATCTGGTGAAAAAAATTTGAACATCAGAGAAGTACAGTGTCTTGGTCCGTTTCTGTTGTTTGTAACAAAATAAATGGAAGTGGGTGATATATAAAGAAAATGAAATGTATTGCTTACAGTTTCCAAGGCTGGGAAGTCCAAAGTCCAGGGAAGACATTTGGTGAAGGCTTTGGTGTTGGTGACAGTGATAGAAGGGTATCACATTGGGAAAATGGCAGAGAGAGGGCAAGAGGACAACTTCCTCATTCAGTGACTTGCCCATGGTCACACCGTGCGCACGTGCACGTGCAAGACTTGAACAACAGTTTTCTGGTGTTCTTTCCACTGAATTATCTCCATTCCATCGATAGATGCTGAGATTTATCTTTTGTCTTCTCATGGAACTTTCTAAAAGCATTTTACATCTTGGAAGAAGAATGTATCCCTCAACTTACTAGCTGGATGATTTGGGGAACAGAAGCCATAGGATCATCACAAGCATTCAATGAAATGATGTATCTAAAGCCCAGCTCAGACTATGCCTGGTACATGTGGAAAAAAGAAGTTGTTATTTTCATTACAAAGTCCATCCCTTGTATATCCTGGAAAGAAAGTTGAGCCAGGCACTCTGCTAGGTGCTGGCACTAAATAAGAAAACTCAGTTACTGCATGAAGTGGCCATGTCAGCAAAGTTCATCCTGAACCACAGCGAGGTCCTCCCTGCACTGTCCTGTCACCCCACTGCCAACGTCCCTACTTTGGTAGAGGCAGTATTGTGTTGCAGAGGAGCCAAGAGGGCAGGCCCCAAGGCTAACAGCCTGGGTGTGAACGCCTGCACCACCACCTGCTGGGCAAGTCATTTAACCTCTCACTGCCTCAGTTTCCTCATCTGCAAATGAGTACAAATAATAGAAGCTACAATTGCTGATGAGGAAACTGAGGCAGTGAGAGGATTAAAAGAACTTATACAGGTAAAGAACAGTAGCTGGTACATAATAAATAGTGAGCGTTTGATAAATATATTCAGTTCTCCCTGAGTCTTTCAGGTGCTGGCCACATTTTATGGCCTGGGAAGAAGAGAAGCCTGATAGGGATTGTTAATTGTCTCTCTCTCTCTCTCTCTCTCTCTCTCTCTCTCTCTCTCTCTCTCTCTCTCTCTCTCTCTCAGGGCGAACTCTTTCTAAATGGCCAAACATGCAGAATTGTGGAGCGGGAGCTGTTGTTTGACCTAGGCATAGCCTATGGCATTGACTGTCTGCTGATCGATCCCACCCTGGGGGGCCGCTGTGACACTTTCACTACTTTCAGTGTCTCGGTCAGTCCCAAAAACAACACTGTCTTAAGAAAACCTTGGGCCAAAGAACAGCCATTGTGATCCTGCATGGACCCTGTTGTGAAACCACTGAAGTCTGGTCCTCAGTGAGACCAGGACCCAAGAGATCTGAGGGCCCAGCGATGGAGTTCTCCAGACCCAGAATCAGCAAGCGTCTACTTAGCCCTACACGGCCTCAGACATTCTTGTTTATCCATCCATCTGCTATTCCTGTGTGCCAGCTATCCTACCACTCGTTTTCAAATTCATCCATCTACTCAGTCATTTGCTCATTCATTCAACAAACATTGTTGAGCTTGTGCCAGAGTAGACCATATAAATTGCCATATCGGACAGTTTGGGGCCTACAAAATGGCAGTTTTATATGGTCAGTCCAATATTTTATGCCAGCCACTTTCATTTACCCATTCATTCATTTGACAACATTGATTGAACTTTTGTCTTGGGCACTACACCTTGTGAAACATTTTATCATCCACCCATTCATCTATCCGATACCACTTATTGAGCACCACCTTTGAGCCAGCCATTCTGCTCAATGCTCATCTTACCCCCACAATAATCCAATACTGGAAGTAGTTACCATCCACTCTGTTGTGTAGATTTGAAAACTGAGATTCAAAGAGGTGAGACTTTACAAGGCAAAGTTTGTTACCAGTTGGCGTCAGTATCTGGCATCTCACAGGCATTCAATAAATATCCCAAACTTCAGGATAACAGCCAAAGTAGGAGCAAACCAATTGTCCTTTCTGCTATACAGCTTATGGCCTTTTTACTTTCCAAAGTATATTCACACATGTTTTTTCAGTTAATTATTTTATTTCACCAGTCCCCTGAAGATCAAATAGCAGCAAGAATTATTATCCCTACTTTATAGGTCATAAAACTAAGGATCAAAGAGTATAAATGATTGGCCAACAGTATCAAAGTTAATTTAAAATGGAACTGACAGGTGCATCCACATTTTCCATTGCTACCACTGTATGCCTGTATACACTGCCCTGGTCCAGCTCTCTGTAAAAGGGGACGTTTCCCCTCAAAGAACTAAACCAAAGAGTTGACGGCCAAGACAGACCTTCAGAAATCTCCACAGCAAAGTGCCACAGTGTTTGTTTTTATATTCTTGATCATAGCCAGAATCTTTATCAAGATTTATTAAGTTCTTAATCAACCTATCCAGGTATTAACCAGGGACACTTCCTTGTGTTTTCCAACATTCTTGATTTTTAACTGTTACTTTCCTTGCATACTAGGGGGACTGTGGGAGCTGTGTCAGTACTCCCAGCTGCCCAAGGTGGAGTAAACCAAAGGTAACTATGAATGCAAGAATAACATTTGGAGAGCCATAGTTTTGTTTCATTATCAGACTTCAGTTTTCTGGTATGTGTATTTGCATGTCTGTCTGTGGGTATGTTGCATGAGGGTACTTTTAAAAGTTCATGGAAAAATAGAATTAAAAAATAATCTGAATCTTTCCATGAGCTTTTTAAAATCCTCATATAAATGTAATTTATGTCATTCTTTTAACAACCAAGTCAATGGGATGAGAGATGAACATTCTCAGCCCAAGATATCAAACGACTACCCATCTTCTAGGAACAGTCTGGAACAGTCTAGAACAGCCATGGGATTATAGACCTAGAAAGGACTTCAAAGATAATTATAACTATAAGAGTAATAGCTATATATTGTTGGCTGCTGTTCATGTCTCAGGCTCCGTGCTAGGCCCTTTGTATATTCATTATACCTATTCCTCATTATAACACTCATCGGAGGCTATTATTACTTCCACTTTACTTATGAGAAAATGAGTCTCAGAGAGGGGAAGCAATCAGCCTAAGGCCACAGCTTGTAAGGAGCAGAGCTAGGATTAAAGCCCAGAAAGCAGCATACAGTAACATTTAAGCCAATGAAATTTGGCATCCACAGCTATGGGTGTCAACTTCCAGTAACCTTTGGCAAGTTACATGATCTCTCAGTTTTGCCTCTGTAAAGTGGAACCAATCAACAATTCTGTATTCAGTTATTAGGAAAATCAAATTTTCATATGTGTGTACATTTAAGTGCCCAGCACATAGTAAGTGCTCATCAACTATTGTTTTTTAATATTCATTCCAAAGTTAAGCTCTTTCTACTGTACTAGTAAAACCTATAACCAAAACACATCTACAAAACAAAATGGAACACACATGCTACTTGCTGAAGATGCCTGGGCCTTGCCACACACCCCTTCGGTGATCGGGAGCTGTCTCTCATCCACGCCCTCCCCAGGCAACCGGGACGTTTGCAAGCAACTCTAAGTGTCAGGAAGTCCTTCCTCTACTCTGGGGAGAAATCTTCCCTAGGAATCTAGCTCTGCCCCCTTCCCAGCCCAACCAACCCAATCCCAATCCAGGTATCTCCACCATTGTTCTATTGATTTCCCTAAGAATTGGCTAAAAATAATAACAATAATAAAGCTCTTGCCCCTTGACGGTCCCATTTTCGACTTGGGCAGTACCGGGATTCTCCACCAGGGGGAGGACTAGCGCCCCAGGCCCCAGCCCGCGCGTAGCAGGCGCTGGGTTCATCCACTCTCTTCCTTTAGGGTGTGAAGCAGACGTGTCTCTACAACCTGCCGTTCAGGAGGAGCGTGCAAGGCTGCCGGCAGCAGTGCGTCCTGGTGATACAGCTCCCCAGGTGCTGCAAGGGCTACTTCGGGCGAGACTGCCAGGGTGAGGGCGCCTCTTCCCGCCCCACGATTCTAAAAGGACTGCACGCTCCCTGCACAGCATTTGCAAGGACCAGAATTATAGAGATGGGGGGCAACACCGCTACTGACCATTCCCAGACCCCAAAACCATCACTCTGAAGAGTTGTGTATCTTCCTTTTTAATTCTTTCATTCGACATATTCTGGGTTTTATTTTTTTTTCTGAGTGGAGATTCTGGTGTGCATAAATGCTAATTGTGTGTCTGCTTTTTTGCTTAACATTAGAGCATAGGCATCTCCCGTGGTGCTAAAAACACCACATTTCGTTTTTGACGTGCTGCAACGTCCAAGATACTGATAAGCACATGAGTTTAAATGCATCCGATATGCCTCTGCCCTGGCAGGTGATGTACTGACACTGTAAGTGTGGGCCATAATTTCCTGAAACCCCCCGTTATAGGATGTATAGCGATGTCCCCCCTCCCTCACCTCACAGGGAAAGGCTCCTTGCCGAAGGGCATTTGGGCCCATCCTGAAACCCCTGTGTTGGATACAATTTCTAGCCAATAACACATCAAGAGCGGCGGCCTGACAAATGCTTTCACGGCACTTCTGATCTGCCACACGTTGTCCTGAGCAGGCACGTTATTGAGGGCTAGTTCCCAACCGTATCAATACATTTAATCCTGGCGACAAACCCTAGGGAATAGATTCCGTTGTTGTCCCCATTTAATAGATGAGAAAACAGAGGCACAGAGAGGATAAGAAGTGAGCCCAAGGTGCCACAGTCTGTCTGCAGAAGCCATGGTTTTTACCACCACACGTAGTCCATTCACTGTAATCCACATTCTGGGCTGAGAGTCCTCGCGGTCACCAGCCTCCACCCTCCATCACTAAAGTGTGGACCATTCATAAAACCAGTGTCATCCCTTATATTTGTTCAGCACTTAATAGTTTCGAGAGCTGTGTCATTGTACCTCATTTGATCCTCACAACAACAAAGTGGTCTAGGTCAAGAGCAGGCTCTCTGTTGTCATCATCAGCAGCAGCACCATTCAGAGCTAAGAAAACTAAAGCTCAGAGCAAGTTTGTTGCTCAGCCCAGATCTACACAAATCCAGGGGTCCTGATTTACACAGTTCAGTGTATCGCCCTGCTGAGGGAGAATCATACCAGATACATTTAAGCACATGTCCCATTGGCCAGTGGCTTGCCCTAAATGTCCATTGACACCCAGGCCCTTGGCCCCCATGGGCTAATGGATGTCAGAATCCACAGCACATTTGCAAAGGTGCTGAGCCGCTCTGGGTCAGGGGACTGTTGCGTCACTGCTGTTTCATCTCTTCCAGCCTGCCCTGGAGGACCGGATACCCCGTGTAATAACCGGGGTGTCTGCCTGGATCAGTACTCATCCACAGGAGAGTGTAAATGCAACATTGGCTTCAATGGGACGGCGTGTGAGCTGTGCTGGCCGGGGAGATTTGGACCTGATTGTCAGCGTATGTGGCACCACTTCATTGTGCTAGAGCCTGGTGGTTAGCTGTGTGCTCCCTGTCCTCATCCATACCTTCCACCTAACCTGGGAGCATCCTTCCTCCCCTTTCTCCCAGCCACCCACCTCCCAACCACTTGCCCTATGTGTTTTTCCCTCCTTGGATGTTCCCCACTTTCCATCTCTGAAGGAGCCTCACCTCTAGAAATATAAACTCATCCCCGGCAGCCACCAAGGCAAGCTGTGGCTGAACAACATTCATTCATTCAGTCATTCAACCAACATGTATTTATTGAGACCTTATTAATATTGATAGCTAACTTTTATTGAGTGCCTACTATATGCCAGACATATATGTTTTATCATTTAATTGTCATAATAACTCTCTGAGGACAGTTCTGTTATTATCCCCAATTAGCTAATGAAGAAACCAAGGTACAAAGAGGTTAAGAAATTTGCTCAAGAGCCAGGAGTTGTTCTAAAGTCTACGGATACAGTGGGGTTGGGGGAGGGGTGTGGACAAAATTCCATCTCTCAAAGAGCTTGCAGAAACGAAAATAATTATAAACGCTATAAATATAGAGAATCAGGTAAAGGGATCAAGAATAAAAGGAGGCACTGTTTTGGTGGGGGAAGTTCTTAAGATTTTTGTTGTTTGTTTATTTTTTTAGCTCCAACTTAGAAGTAAGGACATATGGTGTTTCTCTTTCTGTACCTGGCTTATTTCACTTAACATAATCTTCTCTAAGTTCATCCATGTTGCAGTGAATGCCAGAATTTCAACTTTTTTTTTCTGACGTAGTAGTATTCCATTGTGTATATACCACATTTTCCTTATCCAGTCATCTGACAATGGACATTTAGGTTGGTTCCAATTCTTGGCTATTGTAAGTAGAACTGCGATAAACATGGGAGTGCAGGTGTCCCTTCGACATGATGATTTCCATTGCTTTGGGTACATACCCAGCAGTGGGATTGCTGGATCATATGGCAGTTCTATCTGTAGTTGAGGAACCTCCCTACTGTTTTCCATAATGACTGCACTAATTTACAGTCCCACCAACAGTGTAGGAGGATTCTCATTTCTCCACATCCTCACCAGCATTTGTTATTCTCTTTTTGACAATGGCCAGTCTCACTGGGGTAAGATGTTATCTCAGTGTGGTTTTGATTTGCTTTTCCCTGATGATTAGGGATGTTCAGTATTTTTTCAAGTATCTGTTGGCCATTTATATGTTTTCCTTAGAGAAATGCCTATTCAGCTCCTTTGGCCATTTTTAATCAGGTTACTTGTTTTTTTACTGTTGTTTGAGTTCCTTGTTTGTTTTGGATATTAATCCCTTGCTGGATAAATAGTTTTCAAATATTTTCTCCTATTCTGTAGGTTGTGTTTTCACTCTGTTAGTTGTTTCTTTTGCTATGCAAATGCTTTTTAGTTTGATATAATCCCATTTGTTTATTTTTTCTTTTGTTGCCTGTGCTTTGGGGGACTTATTCACAAAATCTTTGCCCAGTCCTACTTCCTGAAGTGTTTCCCTATGTTCTCTATTAGAAGTTTTATTTTTTCAGGTCTTATATGTAAGTCTTTACTCCATTTTGAGTTGATTTTGGTATATGGTGAGAGGTACAGGTCTAGTTTCATTCTTCTACATAGGGATGTCCAGTTTTCCCAGCACCATTTATTGAAGAGGCAGTCTTTTCCCCAATGTATGTTTTTGTTGCCTTTGTCAAAGATCAGTTGGCTGTAAGTATGTGGGTTGATTTCTGGGTTCTTTATGCTGTTCCATTGGTCTGAGTGTCTGTTTTTATGCCAGTACCATCCTGTTTTGGTTACTATAGCTCTGTAGTATAATTTGAAGTCAAGTAGTGTTATGCTCTGGCTTTTTTTTTTTTTTTTTTTCTCTTCAGGATTGCTTTGGCTATTCAGGGTCTTTTGTTGCTCTCCATAAATGTTAGGATTGTTTTTTCTATTTCTGTAAAGAATGTCATTGCTATTTTGCTGGGGATTGCATTGAATCTGTAGATTGCTTTGGGTAGAATGAACATTTTCACAGTGTTTACTCATCCAATCTAAGACCATGGAATGTCTTTCCATCTTTTTGTGTGGAGGCATTGTTTTAGAAGACATCTCACACGGGGACTATTTGAGTAGAGACCTAACAGAGGTGAGCAGACCAATCTAACTTTTAACAATGGTAGAAATGGCTATTGAGCACTCAAAATGTGTGACTGAGAAATTGAATTTTTAATTTTAACTAGTTTAAATAGCCACATGTAGCAAGTGGCTATTATACTGGAAAGCGCAGACCAGAAGAATGGCTTTCTTGGAGGAGAGGAATGGCTTTCTTGGATGGGACATGAGTAGGTGCAAAAACCCTGCAGCAGGCATGGGCTTGGCATGCAAGGAACAGCATGGTGGCCAGGGCAGCTGAGCAGCATGGGCAAACAAGAGAAAGAAAGGAAGGAAATGAAATCTGAAGGGGCCAGGTTGCATCTGAACTGCTGCATCTGTTCTAAGTGTGATGAGCAGGTGGTTGAGGATTGTGAACAGAGGAGTGTCACAAGCAGATTAAAAAGGATCATTCTAGGTGGGCTATGGAGGATATACTGTAGGAGAGCAAAGCAGAGGCAGGGCCACCTTTGAGAAACTGATGCAACAATCTAGGCAAGAGCTAGTGGCAGCTTGGGCTAGCATGGTAGTGCTGGAGGTGACTAGAAGGGTAGCACAGGTACATATTTTTTAAATTTTACTTTTAAATACATTTCTCATCAAGAGGCCTCAGACGAGGTTCTCTCCCTTATCTGTCCTATTGCATACCCCATGATACCCTCTGCTTCCGTGGTTATGACTTTTACAATTACATGTTCAACAGCTGGTTACTCCTAGAGTGTAAGCCCCATGAGAACAGAAGCCTTATCTCTAATGTATTCCCTTGTAACCTCATTGCCTAGTAGTGTCTGGCACTGAATAAGTTACTTTTTGAATGTTTGAATGAATGACTATGGTATAAACACGTCTCCTCCCACACTGAAAATGCACAGCCAACAGATGGTCAGTGAGCTGCTTGATTGGATTTGATCCCTGATCACTGCTTACTGATCACAGTCTAATTTGCTTTACAGCCTGTGGCTGCTCAGACCATGGACAGTGTGACGATGGAATCACGGGCTCCGGGCAGTGCCTCTGCGAAACGGGGTGGACAGGCCGCTTTTGTGACATTCAAGCAGGTCTGTCATGGGAGTGGCCAGCCACTGGCAGTCCCAGGCTGCAGTGGACCTGCCGAGAGCATCCAAGTGAGGTTGGGAGTGTGAGTGACACCTGAAAAAAATGACAAAACAGGCATTCCCTTTTCCACGTGGAAAAGATGATTTGGATCTGTGTCCCTGGGCCTCTGGAGGTTGGTGACTTGAAGGAAAACTAAATGAAAAGATTTAACTCAAGTCCAGGAAACCAGCATGTCATCCTGCACGATCGTAGAAGGGCCACCTCCAGCAGAGAGTCACGGGATCAGGCAGGGGCGGTGCCTCGTTATAGTGACTCTCGGGCCCAGCTGTGTACTGACACAGAGGCTGGGTGGTTTCAGAGAAAGTGCAGTCTTTGGAGTCCCCAGACCAGGATCTGACCCCTGATTCTGCTCCTTATTAGATGAGTGACCTTAGATATCCCACCCTCTCTGAGCCTTGACTTGGGGCACACCATAAGGGAGGACTGTGTGAGGGTTGGAGATCACGGTTTTGAAGTGCCCGGTGTATGCAGGTGCTCAAAAGCAGTAGCCGCCATTACCCTTGGCATTGTCATCCTTGACATAGTTTGATCCTTACTAAGCAGTCAGTTTTCTGAGGTCTCTCTTATACCCCAAAGCCATGTGTTCTGGAAGGTCTGAGATGTCAAAGTTGGATTATCCAATGTGAACCACTTTCATTTCATTCTCTCTGGGTCAGGGGCCATAACTAGGCTCTTCCTATGGGCTTTAGCAACCTGAAGTTTCAGGAACTTCAACAATATGAATAACTTCAGTTCTTCCTGCTCCCCACTCCTCCTAACTCCTCCCCAAACTCCCCATGGCCTCACGCTGCCTGTGAACACTGCAGCTCATCCAGCCACCAAAGCTCCAGACTTCTCCCAGCTCAGTGGTGCCCTCGGACAGCCATGGAACATCTCCTCCAATTTAACCATCTCCATCTGGAACCCCATGTCCTTAGGGCCAGAGAGCTAATCCCTGCTAGCAAGTATTGAGGTATAAAATGTTAATTAGTTGTTCCTAAAGGTAACATATTTGCATTTTTACCTGGATAGCATTGCAGAGATAATGTCTTAATAGAAAAGAGTAATTCTAGAATCTCAGAATCTCCAGGCTGGGAGAGAGCTTAGCAAATCATCCCATCCCTCTGCTCTGCAGGGCACTTAGGAAACACAGTGGCAGGCCAGAGAGAGAATCTCGGGAAAACTCCTGAGGTGTGTCCCAAGTCCTCCCACTGTGGGTCCTGGATGAATGGTGGTTCCTTTCTTTGCAGTTTTGCCCCCAGAGTGCACACCTCCTTGTTCTGCTCATGCCACCTGTAAGGAGAACAACACATGTGAGTGTAACCTGAACTATGAAGGTGACGGAATAACCTGCACAGGTGAGTCCCTTTGGTGCACACGTGAAATAGCAGCATGGCACAGGAGAGGAGCAGGCTTGTCCCAGAGCCTGTGCTCAATCCTGGGGTGGGGCCTCTTTGGCAATACCTACCCGCCTTGTGGCTCAGTTTCCTTAGTGGATTTGCTCATGTTTGATTTACCCATTCCAGATCATGGAGGTTTTTTGGGTTTTTTGTTTTTGTTTTTGTTTGGGGGGGGGGTTTTGTCTTTTTTTGTGTGGGTGTGACCGGTAAGGGGATCACAACCCTTGGTGCGGTGTCACCCACACCACACTCAGCCAGCAAGTGCACCGGCCATTCCTATATAGGATCCGAACCCGCAGCAGGAGCATCGCTGCGCTCCCAGCACTGCACTCTCCCGAGTGCGCCACGGGGCCGGCCCTCCAGATCATGGTTTTAAAATTACTTTGCAAACTAGGATGCACTATAATTTATAGTCTTGTTGTTGTGTTGTTTTAACTCTACAAGTAATCCAGTCTTCCAAAAATTCAGAAAATGTACTACACTATTCAAAAAACCAAGCTAAACCTACACGTAAACCTGTCACCACTCAGTTTGAACCACTGTGAACATGGCAATGTCTATCTGCAGTAGTTAGGATATAAGATCAGCCATACAAACACCCAAATGAGCAGGGGCATAAACAGGCCAATGCTTATTTCTGTCTCATATAACAGAAGTTGGGAGGGAGGCATCAGGGCTAACACAAAGTTTCTCTCTGAAAGGTAACTGGGGCCCAGGCTCCTTCTGTTTTGTTGCTCTGCCACCACTCACATGCCTGTCCCGAGATGACACTACCACAAGCACATCCCAGGCAGCAGGATGGGAAAGGAGGGAGGTGGCAAACCTCCTTCCCTTTAAGAACACAGCAACGAGCTGCTAAAATCACATCTGCTCCCATCCCATTGGCTGGACCCTCATCACCTGCCATGCCTGGCTGCAAGGGAGCCTGGGAAATGTAGTCTTTTGTTGGGCAACAATGAGCCCAGCTTAAAATCTGTTATTACAGAAAAAGGAGAGAATAGGTATTGGGGGAAAGTGAGCAGTCTCAGCCACAGGTATTTTCTAATGTTTTCACGAAAAAATACTCATATAGGGATATATACTTTCTTTACAAAAATTAGATCTTTCTCTACCCGTTGTTTTGTGATCTGCTACAAGGCAGCCCAGAAGTGGCTCAGAGCTCAACAATGGCAGCAAAGGCCCAAGTTCTCTCTTTCTACCCTGCCATCCTCAGGGCGAGGTGTTTGTCCTCATGTTTATACTATCAGAGTCTCAAGTGGCTGCCATGACTCTATGCATAAATGAAGGCAGGAGAAATCAGACAGCTTTCCAGCTTCTCCTGCATGTAGAGCTAATCTATTTGGGGGTTGAAATTTGGAGGATTGTGAAAACAAAGATCCTATGAGGTGGTACAACACAATGGGAGAGAATGGGCTTTGCAGCCAAGCCAACCTGGGTTTAAATCCCTACCACATTCTAGCTGTTTTACCTTTGTCAGGTCAGGTAAGCACTTTGAGCCTCAGTTTGTTCATCTGTAGAATGGGTGTAACAATGTCTGTCTCATAAGGTTCTCAGTATTGCACTAACCCACAAACATACACACACACACACACACACAGAGTCCTAACATTAAAAAGCCAAACTCATTCTGAAAACTACTACCAAAGCAGAGCCTAGAGGTATGTTACAAAGGGGGACAGAAGTGGACAGATGTGATCAGGCCTGATCTGTGAGGGTGTCACAAGGATACAGTGTTGCGAAGGCTAGCACAGAGGCTGCAGGGTGTGGGGAGAGAAAGCACCGACATGTGGTGCCATTTACTCCCCCAGTATCACTGTTGCTGGGTGACCCGTACCCCCAATCTGAAGCCCCAGTTACACAGACAGTGGTAAATTGAGCTTGCTCTCCCTGGCTCTTGCAGTTGTGGATTTTTGCAAACAGGACAACGGGGGCTGTGCGAAGGTCGCCAAGTGCTCCCAGAAGGGCACAGAAGTTTCCTGCAGCTGCCAGAAGGGCTACAAAGGGGACGGTCGCAGCTGCACAGAGATAGACCCATGTGCGAATGGCCTCAATGGGGGGTGCCATGAGCATGCCACCTGCAAGATGACTGGCCCGGTGAGTGGCTTTCCCCCAGGGGAATTTGGGAGCAGCCCCTTGTGCCTCGCTCAGCCTTGCCTCTCCACATGCTCTCCCATGCAGCCTCTGTCTAAGCTTCCTTCCCACCTCGATCTGTTTCTTGTTAAAAGTCAGTGCGCTAACCGCAGGGTGGTATCCTGGGCAGAAAAAGGACACTAGCGGAAAAACTGGCAAGATCCACATCATCTATTGTTTAGTTAATAGAAAGTTGCCGACGTTAGTTTCTTAGTTTTGACTCATGTACTGTGGTTATGTACGATGTTAACATTAGGGGAAACTGGGTGGGAGGTATAGGGGAACTCTCTCTGCTATCTTTGCAACTTTTCTATAAATGTAAAATTGTTCCAAATTTAAAAGTTATTGAAACAAAAAAAGTTGATAAGAAGTGGTGTACAGGTTTTGGCACTCACTCAGGTCTTTTTAGAATGGAAAGACGGTGCGAAATCATGTCTGTTGCTGGTTACAAATGTGGACTTAGTGTCAGACAGCCTCTGAGTCTTCTCTCCCGGACTTAACGAGCTCTGTGGTCCCACTGCTGGCTACTTACTCTCTCTGAGCCTCAGTTTCTCTATTTGTACAGTAGGCTTAATCATAGAGACATCACTGGGCTGTTACAGGGACTTTTCGTTTTGTTTGCGGGAGGAGGTTTTGGTGGCTAGCTGGTAACAGAGATCAAAACCCTGGACCTTGGTGTTATCAGCACCACGTTCTAACCAACTGAGCTAACCGGCCAGCCCTGTGTGGGGATTAAATGAGATCATTCATTGATTCATCCAGTGGCCACCTACAATGTGCTGTTCACAAGTGCCAGAGATACAGCAATAAAAGGACAGACAGAGGGCTGGCCAGTTAGCTCAGCTGGTTAGAGCGCCGCCTTGTAACACCAATGTCAAGGGTTTGGATCCCTGTACCATACCAGCCAGCTGCCAAAAAATAAATAAATAAAAATAAAAGGATGGACAAGGCCCTTGCTTTCCTGGAGCTTACGTCTGAGCAGAGGAAGGGGGCAATACTTAGTACAGGAATAAATGCACAAGATGCTTCCAGAGTGCGTGAAGCGCCGTGAAGAACACGGATCAAGCCAATGTGATAGAAGGGCCTGGGAGAGCTACCTTATGTACAGAGGTCAGGGAGGTGTCTCTGAGGAAGCGACATTTAAGCTGAGATGTAAAGGATGACAAGGTCTCATCATGAGCCTGTACAAAAGCGGGACATAGCAGTGTTTTGATTCCCACTGGACAGGAGAGGCACATTCTCTTGGTCCTTCTGAACACTATCTATCTGGATGGTGGTCCCCGTGGCACTTGGGGTCCTGAGGTCCTAGAGGGGGAGCTCTTTCATCTGTCCCACTGTCTCCCCGCAGGGCAAGCACAAGTGTGAATGTAAGAGTCACTACGTGGGAGATGGGCTGGACTGTGAGCCGGAGCAGCTACCCATTGACCGCTGCCTACAAGACAATGGGCAGTGCCACGCAGACGCCATCTGTGCCGACCTCCACTTCCAGGGTCAGTGCAACAAGGGGCTACTGGCCCAAGGCACCCTTTCTTCAGGCTTGGGGGAAGGGACCTGTGCGAGAGGAAGAAGAAGAACAAAACAAAATAAAACAGGGAGCAAAGAGCCCATGCACTGCCCAGACCCAGCGGAGGCAGCAGGCTTGTGCAGCAGAGGCCAGAGTAGGATCGGGCCTGGAGCTGTTAGACCAGGAGGGAGCTCAGAGCTTGTCCATCATGAATTTTCGCCATACTGGCTTTTCCTAAGCTCCTTAGTAACTCTTGCAACCCTTGATTGGAATTGAATCCAAAAAGCACAGCTTAGGGTATTAAATAGCAAAAAAATGCCTGTCACATGCAGAAGCAATTTCTTAGCATGGTTTGGTTGGCATATATGCCATTGGCTTCCAAGTGATTGGCTTGTAATAAACGCACAGGTAGAATAAAACTAAGAATCATGACACGCAAGAAAGTAAAAAGCCACGTAGAAGTGCAGAGGCACAGGTGCCAGACATCCTGAGACCCCGTGAAGGAAAGCCATAAAGGGCCCACAAACGTAGTCCTGAACCAAGGCAAAGAGGGACTTCAGTGATTCAGAAGGTGATTCAGGGACTGGCCAGTTAGCTCAGTTGGTTAGAGCACAGCCTTATAACACCAAGGTCACGGGTTTGGAACCCCATACAGGCCAGCTGCCAAAAAAAAAAAAGAAAAGAGAAAGTGATTCAGGGCATGCACATTATGGCCAAACTGTTTATGAGATGTCTCTGGCTGGGGTTGGGATTGTTTTTACAGATGTGGTCATTTTAGTGAGGCAGTTTTTACATGCCTTAATAATAAATACTGACTTAAAACCTGTTATATACCAAGGCCTGAGACACCTTAAATCCCTTCTGGGATGAGAGAGGATATATAAGCAGGGGAAATACATAGAATATGACATATATGACATCTGTTCTTGCAAGGAGATTTCCAATGTAGTTGAGGAAATTTTTAAATGAATAAGACAAGAAAAAGAAGTTAATAAGACAGAAGACGGGAGTTTATCTCGTGCTGATGGCGCAGCTGAAATGTGAGAGCAAGAAGAATCAGAGAATTGAAAACAAGAACTTGAAATGGGTATTCACATTCCCGTATTCAGAGCAGCATTATTCACAACAGATGAAAAGAGAAAACAACTAAAATGTTGATCAACAAATGACTGGATAAACAAAATGTGGTGTATCTATATGATGGAATATTATTCACAGTTGAATGAAATTATGGCACATGCTACAACATAGATGAACCTTGAAAACATGAAGTGAAAGAAGCCAGACACAAAAGGACAGATAGTGTGTGACTGCACCTGTCCAAGTACCTAGAAAGGGCAGATTCATAAAGACAGAAAGGAAAATACGAGGGTACTTTAAATTGTTCATGGAAAGATTCATATTATCTATTAATTCCATTTTTCCATGAACTTTTTGATGTACCCTTGTAGAGGTTACCAGAGGCTAGGGGAGGGAAGATTGGGGAGTTACTGTTTTATGGGTGTAGAGTTTCTGTTTGGGATGATGGACCATAATAAAAATAAATAGTGGTGATGGTTACACAGCAGTGTAAGTATACTTAATGCCACGGAGTTGTACACTTAAAATAGTCAAAAGAGTACATTTTATTTTATACATGTTTTATCACAGTTAATTTTTTAAAAAAAGAAAGAATAGAGAAGGGAAAGATCTTCTCTAGGTGAGGCAAGAGGGAATTTTCAGGGGCACATAGCCTAGGGCTACGGTGGAGACTTGATGGATGTTTGAATGGGGCTCATGACAGGAGCAGGCAAGGCAATTGTGTTGGAGGACAGCCTGGACAGGACAGGGTGACCAGTGGCCAGCTGAGGACGAGGCAATGAGGAGACAGGGCATGATGTCAAGGCGATGACCACAAGGTGAAAGGCTCCATCCTGAGACACCAAACGCGATGGCAGTGCCAGGTTACAGCAGACGGGGAGGGAAGCTGACCAGAAGTTTGAAAGTTTGGTTAGGGACATTCATTGTTCAAGGTGATGACATATCAGTGAATAGAAATTTTTAAAAAGACTGGAGGAACGTGAAAATATATCATAATAAAAAGCTACAAAAAAAGTTAAAATTCTGGAAGGAAGTACACCAAAATGTTAACCAGGGTGTAATGATTATCTCCAGGGAGTAAGATTATAGGTGACTTTTGTCTATTTCTTTTTTCACTCTTCTGTACCATCCTCATTTCTGCAATGAACATATCCTATTTTTATAATTAGAAAAGAAATGAATATTTTATATGATGTGCTTCAACATAACTCAAAGGGGAAGTGGCTTCCCGACACCCGGGGCACAGCTGGCCTTCCACTTTGAAAGTCTTTCCAAGTCCTTTGCCGGAAGCGCTGCCAACCAGGTGGGCTGGCCCGGGTGACTCCTCCCCTTCCTCTTCTAGACACCACTGTTGGGGTCTTCCATCTACGCTCCCCACTGGGCCAGTACAAGCTGACCTTTGACAAAGCCAGAGAGGCCTGTGCCAACGAAGCTGCAGCCATGGCAACCTACAACCAGCTCTCCTACGCACAGAAGGTGGGTCCCAACTAGTGGATGCTGTGCAGGCAGAGTCTGCAGGGAAAGAGGTGCAGCCTCTCCTTAAGGTGGGGGAGACTTAGGCTGTTGCCTTCTGGGAAGGGAGTGCAGGAAGTTCCTGGAGCAACAGTAACAACACACCCTGTTCATTTATCAGACGTCTACTGTGCGTCAGGCACTGTGCTTCGTTGACATTATCGTCCACTCTTACAACATCCCTGGAGGTAGATGTCACTATTCCCATTTTACAAATAGGGAAGCTGAAAAGCTTAAGTGCCCAATGTCACCCATCCAAAAGGTGGCAGGTCCAGATATTCAAATGTAGCCCTGACACCAAAAGTCTATTCTCAACCATGATATTCACCTGAGAAGACAGAAGCAGAGACTGGAGGTGCAGACCTCACAGCTAGAAACCAGAAAGAGATCAATAACCACAGGCCTAAGACCTCCCTGAACCCACAAAGCAGTTGAGTTTCTCTGGAACAGCTTCTGAGGCTGGAGGGGCTGCAGAGGGAATAAATGCGGATTGTCCAAGTCTCAGCCCCATCTGAGAGGAAATGGAGCTCTCTGGTCAGGGCTGCTGTCTTAGTCTCTAAAACCAGAAGCCCTGTCAATTCAGAAAAGCCAGCGCCTTGGAGTTATCTGCTGGTGATTTTTCACTGGGAACAGAGGAGGTGACTGCCTACACGGTATGACTTTAGGGCTCTTTCTCCAACCCCCATCACTACAAAACCTCTCTGCCTTTATAGACCTGATATTTCCTTACCAAGGAACAAAGCCCTTGATGCCAGGACCCAGCATACTGGAGGGTCTGAATCTCTGCAATCTTACTTGCTGGTTGTGTGGCCTTGACCAAGCTATTGAAGCCTCTGTCCAACATGTATGTTTGTGTAAGGACTGAAGGTAACATGGCACACAGTAGGAACTCAATTTTTGATATTATTAAGAGGTCTGGAGTTGACTGCCTGGGTTTGAATGCCAGCTCTACCACTTTCTGGCTGTATGACTTTGAGCAAATTACTTCTCTTTGCCTTGATTTTCTCAATTATATATATGAAAAGGATTTTAAAAGTTCCTACTTCATAGGGTTGATGTGAGGGTAAAAGGTGCCGACCCATGAAAAGCCTTTGCAAGAGAACGGGGCCCAGAATAAGCTCTCGGTAAGTGTTATGATGATGGTCATGGTGGTGCAGGTGGTGATGAAGATGATAAGTACATGAAGAATTAGAGTTCTATCATCAGTCAGCGTTCTGTCCACCCAGGAGCAGAAGAATCTGTACCCGGGGTAAATGGCTGAAAATGGCTGAGAGCAAATCCTTTCTCAAGAGCAGAGAGAAGAGAAATGACCATGAAGGACCTGGAGCACCTACGAGAAAGAGAGGGCACCACGTGCATTCATCCAGTGGCTCAGTCAACAAAAATTGAATGATTACCTATTATGTACCAGGCACAGGGGTACAATAGGCCAAATGAGACTGACTCCATGGGGTTATGGTTTGGTGGGGGAATCAGACGTTAACCAAATGATCCCACCACAAATATGAAATTGCAGCTGATCTGTGGCCTCATCTGTGTCTCTGCAGGCCAAGTACCACCTGTGTTCAGCGGGCTGGCTGGAGAGTGGGCGGGTTGCCTACCCCACAGCCTACACCTCTAAGAACTGTGGCTCTGGTGTTGTTGGGATAGTGGACTATGGACCTAGACCCAACAAGAGTGAAATGTGGGATGTCTTCTGCTACCGGATCAAAGGTAACTTCCCCAGCTACACTTCAGGTTCCAGGCCATGCAGCTGCTGAGTGGTCCTCAGCCTGGCCAGCCAATCTCCATGGGTGAGCAGGGCAGTCCAGGCCCAACATCACTGGGGGTGGGACCCTGTGTGCCTCTGCCCTCCAGATGTGAACTGCACCTGCAAGGTGGGCTACGTGGGAGATGGCTTCTCGTGCAGTGGGAACCTGCTGCAGGTCCTGATGTCCTTCCCCTCACTCACAAACTTCCTGATGGTATGTACCACGTCTGCTTGGTTTCACCTCGGGGACGGAGGGGTTGCCTCAAAGTAGGTGTTAGAGGAGTGAGTCATTGAAAGAAGACAAAGGCTCACGGTCGTAGTTTAGAGCATGGGCGCTGGACCACCTTGCCTGAATTTGAAGCATGGGTTTGCCATTCACTTGCTGCATAACCTTTAAAACGTTACTTTTCTCTCTGTGCCTCAGTTTCCTCATGTGTAGAATGGAGATAATGATAGCACCAACCTCATAGGGTCATTGTGACGATTGAGTTAACATTTGTGAAGCATTTAGACACACAGCACACAGAAAATTCTATATTGATGTTAGCTGGCATTATTTTCTCTGTTTGCATCTAGAGCAGTTTCAGAGTCTGATCTACAGGGATGAGACATTCTTTTGTCTTCATGGGCAGGGTGGGCACAGTCAGCTACCTGCCCAGTGATCACCCAATGAGCCTAATTAACACGGAGACAATTTGCATTTTGCACTGCACTTAAAGTCACATCAATATTCTGCAAGTGATATTCAGTGAAGAGAAACCCCCATTTGGAGAACGATTTTGTGTTGACTAATCAAAGAACTAAGCTAATAATAATAACAGCAGCAGCTAACTTTTCTTGAGCATTTACCCTGCACTGGTCACCGTACTGAGCCCTTTGCACAAATGGTTCGGTCCACAGAATGTGAGCTCCAAGCTCTCTGCCTTGACTATGAGTGTGTCTCCACACCTCAGATAGCAGCTGGCACTTGATAGGTGCTCAATAAATACTTGTTAGAAGGAGTAAATCTTCACGCAACTTTATGAGGTCACTTCTGCTATTATTGCCATCTTTTAGATGAAGAAACTGAGGCTTAGCAAGGTCAAGGATACAGTCTTATGTCCCAGAGCTGGGCTCAAACCCAGACTGCCTGGTGCCTGACGCCCCCCTCATGCTTTGTTGTAGGGAACAATGGCAGTCGGTGATTGAGCCACTGTTCCCAGCACAACTGACAATCAGTGACCTTGGGAGGGGAGGGAACAGGGCATGAGTGTAGGGCTTGCAGGATCAGGGCAGAAGTTAGATCAAAGACCCAAAAATGGTGAGCCTTTGCCCACAGACCATAGGTATCCATCTAACTGGTCTAAAAATCAGGATTGCCATAAATACACTAAACACCAAAACCAACATTTCTGCTGCATGGGAACTCGGCTTGGGTCAGCATTTCAGAGAAAAGACAGTGGCAGAACAAAACCCCTCAGCAAATTATTTACCTTCTCTGGACTTCAGTAGCCCTGTCTACACAATGACAAAGTTGAACTGGGTAGGGCGATTTCTTAAAAGATGCTCTGTGAATATTTATTGAGCACTTACTATGTGCTTGAGATAAATCAGTGAACAAAACAGGCAAACAAAATAAACAATAAACAGAACAAACAAACAAATAGTATTAAATGCTAGAAGGTAATATACACTATGGAAATAGAAAAAGCCAAGCAGAGGTGGGGGGCACCAGAGTGGTGAAGGAAGGCTTGATTGAGAAGATGACACTTGAGCAACATGTGAACAGAACACAGGGCGTTACCCATGCAGACTGCGGGGAGAACATTCCAGAAAGAAGGAACACTCAGGCTAAGGACAAACAGCGGGAGGACGCTGGGCCAGTTAAAGGAGCAGCAAGGAAGCCAGTCTGGCTGGAACAGAGTGGGCGAGACAGAGGACAGCTGGGCCTGGGGTCAGAGGAGCAGCAGCAGCCAAGTGGCTTGGACCTCGTGAGCCACTGTACGGACTTTTCCCCTGAGTGAAGTGGGGGCCATGGCAGGATCTTAAGAAGAGGAGACAAGATTAAACTTACATTTCAAGGACTGCTTGGGCTGCTGTGTTGAGGATGGTCTATAATGTGGCTACGTCTTCGGACCACAGCGTTAGTTGAGGAAAGGGAAGGTTCTAGAACTCTGCTGAGGGGCAGTCAGAAGTCTGGTTGAGTGGGGCTGATGTCAGGAATATCCCCCAATGGGCGATGCCCTGCGACCCTCTCCAGCCACCCGAGTCCTCACACAGCAGGCCTGGCCTGTGTGACGCCTCCTGTTCTCTCCCCAGGAGGTGCTGGCCTATTCCAACAGCTCTGCCAGAGGCCGGGCCTTTCTGAAACACCTGACTGACCTGTCCATCCACAGCACCCTCTTTGTGCCACAGAACAGCGGGCTGGGGAACAACGAGGTGAGTCGGGTCCCCAGCACCTGCACTCTAGACTAGTATCAGTTGTCTGTCACCCCAACAAGGCTGCGTCACATATTACCCAACACTCAGTGGCTAAGCATTTATTGAGCTCCATGTCTGCAGACCAGCAGTCACTTCTGGCCCTGGCTCGCTGGGCCTGAGGCCGGCCAGTGTGTGACTGACTCCACAGGGCTCAGGCTAGCCCTGGCATGTTCTTGGGACAATGGCAGGGAGTAACAGTGGTGTCAGCAAGCCCAGCCCTGCAGCGCTTTCCAAGCCTCTGCTAGGTCATATTTGCTAGCATGCCACTGGCCCCCCATGTCATGCGGCTGAGTCCAGTCAGAGTGGGGACACTCAGAGTTACATGGCAAATGGCAAGGACACAGGGAGGGGAGAAGAACCAGAGCCACTGATGCCATCAGCTACACGCCAACCTTCCTCACATCATAGCACACCGAGGAATCACCAGCACCATTTATTCAACCAATGGCAGATGGATGCCCTGCAGGCTCTGTCAGCCCCAGCCCTGCCCAGCCCCCCGAGAGGAGCAACACCTGTGCCCACCTGTCACCCACTCATGACCCTCTCTGCCCAGGACACCATTGGGAAGCTCTGCTTTAGACACAAAGATGATTTTCAATCCCTTAACCTAGCTATAGGTAAGCCTCTGGCAGAGCCCAGACAACCAATGGCCTGAGATTAACTTGACATTTCCTGACCTCCCCGTGGAGGCAGAAAGGCCAAGGCCATGAGAAGTGATTGTTTTTCTGTGTCTTCCTTATCGTTAAAAAGACAAAATACTGCTTGGCCTTTAAAGACCATTGTTGTGTTTCTCCTTCCCTCTCAGACCTTGTCTGGGCGGGACATCGAGCACCACCTCACCAATGTCAGCACCTTTTTCTACAATGACCTTGTCAACGGTACCATCCTGCACACCAGGCTGGGAAGCCAGCTGCTCATCACCTCCAGCCAGGACCAGCTGGTATGAAAATCTCCTGGGCTTATTGGGAGAACTGGAGATAACACATGCAAAGTTCCTAGCATACAGTAGGTGTTTAATAGACGGCAACTATTATGTTGTGAAAGTAAACTCTGAGCCTGCAGATAGGGGTACTGACCGCCCATCATAGCATATCACGCTGACTGTTAGGCAGCCCCTACCCTAGGGCCATGGGCCAGCCTCAGAAATTTGTAATGAGGAATGATAAACGAAGCCATTTTAAAGCTGATTCTCTACCTTTGTTTCTATCAGATTGTCAGTCTATCCCAAGCATTAACACGTGAGTTTTGAAGTCAAATGACCCTGGTATGAACCCCAGTTCTGCCACTTACTAGCCATAAGAACTTAGATACGTTATCCAACTTCTCTGTCTCAATTTCCCCATCTGAAAAATGGGGATGATGGTAATGGTGGTGATGGTGATGATGGTGGTGGTGATGGTGATGGTGGTGGTGATGGTGATGATGGTGGTGGTGATGGTGATGGTGGTGGTGGTGGTGGTGGTGATGGTGGTGATGGTGGTGATGGTGGTGGTGGTGGTGGTGGTGATGGTGGTGATGGTGGTGATGGTGGTGGTGGTGGTGGTGGTGGTGATGGTAGTGATGGTGGTGATGGTGGTGGTGGTGATGATGGTGGTGGTAACGATGGTAATGATGGTGATGATGGTGGTGGTGGTGGTGATGGTGGTGATGGTGGTGGTGGTGGTGGTGGTGGTGGTGGTGGTGATGATGGTGATGGTGGTGATGGTGGTGGTGGTGGTGGTGGTGGTGATGATGATGGTAATGGTGGTGATGGTGATGATGGTGGTGGTAACGATGGTAATGATGGTGATGATGGTGGTGATGGGGTGGTGGTTGTGGTGGTGATTATTATGATGGTGGTGATGGGGTGGTGGTTGTGGTGGTGATTATTATGATGGTGGTGATGGGGTGGTGGTTGTGGTGGTGATTATTATGATGGTGGTGATGGGGTGGTGGTTGTGGTGGTGATTATTATGATGGTGGTGATGGGGTGGTGGTTGTGGTGGTGATTATTATGATGGTGGTGATGGGGTGGTGGTTGTGGTGGTGATTATTATGATGGTGGTGATGGGGTGGTGGTTGTGGTGGTGATTATTATGATGGTGGTGATGGGGTGGTGGTTGTGGTGGTGATTATTATGATGGTGGTGATGGGGTGGTGGTTGTGGTGGTGATTATTATGATGGTGGTGATGGGGTGGTGGTTGTGGTGGTGATTATTATGATGGTGGTGATGGTGGTGATGATGGTGGTGGTAACGATGGTAATGGTGGTGATGGTGATGATGGTGGTGGTGGTGGTGATGATGATGATGGTGGTGATGATGGTGGTGGTGGTGATGGTGGTGATGGTGGTGATGGTGGTGGTGGTGATGATGGTGGTGGTAACGATGGTAATGATGGTGATGATGGTGATGGTGGTGATGGGGTGGTGGTTGTGGTGGTGATTATTTGAGGGATGGTGGTGTAGGGGAGAAAAAACTTCCTCTATCCTTTCAGAGTCTGGCCAAGCCTGAGAGTTAAACTGGCATAAGACAGATTAACAGGAGAAAAGCACACAACATTTATTTAATATTTTACTTGTACAAGGGATTCCTCATAATGTAAATGAAGACCCAAAGAAACAGTTAGGACCAAGAGCTTATACACTTTTTAAACAAGGGAACAATAAACTTTTGGAGAAGTGACAAGACAAAGGGGTTTGGGATAAAAGGAAATATATGTGGGAAACTAATGGGAGATTAGAATTACTTTAGTAGGTTTGTTTGCACATGGCCATCTTGGCACCGACTCCCAGTCTCTGTTGATAGAATGTTCTTCTCTTCCTGGTACAATGAGGGCACCTTACTCATAGGAAATGTCATGACCTGCTTTTAGGTAGAAAGAGGGAAATCAGAGAGTACTTCGTGCATCTGCTGTTTCTCAAGTGCCTTCAACTCAAAATAATGAATATGCCAAAGTGGCATATTTTGAGGTGGCATGTTCTGAACTCCTTTAGTGATGATGGTGCTGATGATAATAATGATGATGGTGATGGTGGTGATGATAGTGGTGATAATGGTGATGATGGTGGTGATGGTGACGGTGGTGGTGGTGATGACCACAATGACCATGATGTCTAAATCACAGGCTGTTGTGGGGATTCAGTGTTTCAAGATTTGCAACATGTAGCAAGTGCTAAATGACTATTATTTTTTATTTTTACCTCATAAATGATTTCTATTATTGAAGAGCAGTTTAGACTAGTGCTTTCCAAACTTTAATGTGCATTTGAATCACCTGGAGATTTGTTAACATGCAGATTGTGATTCAGCAGGTGGGGTGTGGGGCCTCACTGGGATTAGATCACTTAAAAATCCCTTTTCTATCACTGTGCTGTGATGTTCAGAGCAATGAACTTGGAATCCAGAGCAGGAGGTTTGCCACTTCCTAGCTGGGTGATCTTAGATAAGCTATTTTCTTTCTGCTCACTCATCTGTCAGACAAGTGAACTGGGCAAATGACTCCTGAGGTTCTCTGCAGCCCTTAGATCAGCACAAGGGCAACTAGTGGGTTCTGGGTTGCCCACACCATGAGCAGAGGTCCTGTGCTAAAACCTAGGCTCTGGGGACTTGAGGAAGCTGAGCAACTTCCTTTCAGAGAAGGGCTGCCCACTTGGGAAGAAAAAGCCAGAGGGTCACAGATCTCTATTAACCCTCTTTTCATCTTCCTAGAAGGAGACCAGGTTTGTTGATGGAAGAGCCATTCTGCAGTGGGACATCTTTGCCTCCAATGGGATCATTCATATCATTTCCAGGCCTTTAAAAGCACCCCCAGGTCCAGTAGTGAGTATCCAGGGTTGCTGGTGAGGGGCCAGGAGTAGCTCCAGTGTTCACTCCCCAAGATGCAGACTGTTGCTGGAAGCCCTGTCCATCACCTTCCTCCTCTGGAGGCTGAAGAAGCCTCCCACACCCGAGACAGCTGGCTTCAGGGATGCCCAGCCCTGGTTCATCTAATCCCCACTCCCGTGCATTAGCTACACAGCACCTGTCCGCATTAGTACTTGTTAAATGAAAGATGGGCCAATGCACTGGAAGCCACTGGAAGGGAGAAAGAAATCCTGAGCTCTGGGTTGGCCCCTCCACTTTGTAGGACCTCTGAGCCCCAATTTTCTTACCTGCAAAACAGGGTACATAATGCCTGCCTCCCTGGGTTTGGGGGGGACTAAGAGTTAATAAATGTGAAATACTTCAACAGTCCCTGAAACATAGTGCACGCTACGTAAAAGTCGATGGTTGGTGTGAGCATTCTAACTTTTTCCCAAAAGCATGAGGGAGGGGTGAGCTGCTGGCTGCTGGAAAGCTCCAAAGCCAGACTGGGTTCAAAGCCCACTTCTGCCACTAACTGGCTGTGTGATGTTGGGCAAGTACTTAACCTCTCTATGCCTCAGTTCCCCCATATAAAAATGGGAATAATGAAAATAGGGAACAATAATAATTGCCCTTATCTCTTTGGATTATTATAACATTTAAATAGATTATTTCGTATAAGGGGCTTAGAACAAAACCTGGCAAGAGTAAGGGCTATATACCAGGGTAACTTCAAAAGGCTCATGGAAAAACAGAATGAAAAGTTAATATGAAATACCCTCATACATGTTAACTTATTATTTTAACGCAACTGGCTCCAAGATGCCTCAGGCCAGCAAGAACGGGATGAGCTCCAGCAAGTGCACCTCTTTGAGGGAATCGCTGGTTTAAGAACTGACGCCTGTCCTTTCTATGTTCAGGCTTCAAGGCGCACTGGCTTGGGAACGGGCATATTCTTTGCCATCGTCCTGATCACTGGAGCCATTGCTCTGGCTGCCTACTCTTACTTTCGGCTAAACCGGAGAACAATCGGCTTCCAGCATTTTGAGGTAAGAGAGGGAGAAAGGGGACATCTCCGAAATCCAGTCCCTGGATCTGGGCTACTTCGGCCGACTGGCTGCTTCAGAGACCTCACCCAGGAGCCCGCACTTGGCACAGCAGCAGGGGCAACCACCCCAGCCCACCTTTCCTGCCCCCTGGGTGGGGTCTCTGCCCTAGAAAGAGCAGAAGAGGCAGCCCCAAGCCCCTCTTCCTGGCTGAGACAGAGCTTAGAGAGGAGAGTGAGGGACTGCCAGTAGCAAAGATCCCCCGAGCCTCCATGACAGGGGCCCAGGAGTCACATTCACCATGGAGGATTCACAAGACAAGCGCCCACCATGACTGGCACGGGCTTCAAGACTGGCTCTGAGGGTTGGAGGACAGGGTCGGGGACCTGCACAGCCAGAGGCCTCACAATGCAGCCAGTGAAACTCCTTTTGCCCTATTTGAACAGTTGAGTCCTGTCCAGGTCAGCTGCAAGCCAAGGACAGGCAACACCACTCCAGGCGGATAGGAGTCAGAATAGGGGTTACCCTGGGTGGGAGGGAGTATTGGCAGGCAAGAGGCATGCAAGCACTTCCAACGGTGGATGTAAATGCTCTGTGTGCTGATCTGGGCGGTGGTCACATCCAGGTAGATGTGTGTAAGCTATCACCAAACTGAACCTTAAGATTGATGCATTTTATTAAATGCAAATCATATCTCAACAAAGTTCTGTTAAAAAGCTCCCAGAGGGGGCCGGCCCAGTGGCGCACTGCTATAGTGCGCCGCTTGGGAAGCACGGTGGCGCTCCCGCCGAGGGTTTGGATCCCACATACAGACCGGCCGCTCACTGGCTGAGCGAGGGGCGGGAGCAACACCGAGGGTTGCGATCCCGTGGCCGGTCCCGGTCCGGTACGGGCACGACACTGAGGGTTGCGATCCGTTGCTGGTCACGAAAAAAGACAAAAAGGAAAAAAAAAAAAAGCTCCCAGAGGCGAGTTGCTCTTAAAGAGGATTTTGAATATTCCCAACACCAAGACATGACAAATGTTTGAAGTGATAGATATACTGATTACCCTGATATGATCATTGCACACTGTATAAATGTACCCAAATACCACATTGTAGTCCATAAATATATATAATTATCATGGGTCAACTAGGAAAAAAGAAAAAGAAAAAAAATGATTTTAAAAAAAGGCTCCCAGAGGCAGAGGGTGTCTTGCTTTACCTGCCAACTTGGATGAGACGCTTCTGCTCTGGGGATGGTCCTGGCTCTCAGCTTGTCTTTCCAACAGTCAGAAGAGGATATTGATGTTTCGGCTCTTGGCAAGCAGCAGCCTGAGAATATCTCGAACCCCATGTATGAGAGCACAACCTCAGCTCCCCCAGAACCTTCCTACGACCGCTTCGTGGTGAGATTGCATTTTTATCTAGGAACAGGTTCAGCTGGGGTGCAGGGGAATGATGCCTTTCAGCAAATCTCAGTGGAGAGTTTCATACTAAGAAAAGCTCACTTCTAGAACACGTCTCAGGCAACAAGCCCAGAAGCCAGTTTTGCAAGCTGGCTACAGCCGGTGTGGTGGTTCAGAGTTCCTGGGTTCTTTTGGGTGGACGGCAGAAGCCTCAAACAATTACAGGTGGGAAGAACTACAGATTATCTAAACCTAATCTCATGCCCAGGTAAAATGTCACAAGGAAGAGAAGTCTTGGGTTGAATTCTGCCACCAATATTATGAGGTAGCAGGTGCAAAACAAAACATAGGCCTTAAAAAAAGGATTTCTCCATTAGCTATATTTTAAACTTCTATTTACATCGTAGTCCGAGGTTTTCCTGCCTGTTGTCAGAGCTATTTCTTGTTTTTGGAGCTACTTTTCTTTGAGGAGGCCTTTTATCTGGGTGGATGTTCTGCTCTGGTCTGCCAAGAAGGGACTATTTATTTCTAGAGTTAGTGATCCTTAAGCTTAGATGGGACCTCCTCTGACTTCGGCCCAGGGGGACCCCGTGGCAGGGGGCCCCATTCACACTGAATGTGGAAGGTACACCCTGCCTGTAGTTTATTACCAGTTCTGCACTGAGAAACATAGAAATAAAACTTAACTTTTCCTTTTATACAACAATCAGAAAACTGACAGCCAGTATGCTGTGTCCTTGTTTACCCACCAGACTGAGCCGACAGGATTACTCAGGTCCAAGGAAATACTTGAATCTTGGCTTGTGTGGGTCTACAGCCCTCATGCAACATGAACCAAAGCCAGACAGCTGCTGTAGTTGTCCAGTGCACATACGTATTTCACCCGCCACCGCCCCCAATATATTATAAGTTTTGAATCTTTAAGCTGGCACTGAAATGTTACAAAAATGTTTTCTTGCGCTGTTCTTAAACTTTCATAGCGCAGTAGATTGTTGTGACCTTTCTGAAGTAAACCAGTGAGCATAGTTTCGGAGGTACCTCATGCCCCCCACAATGCCCCTACAAGTAAAACAGTTCCACATTAAAGAGAAAGTGAAGGAAAATGGTCAGGGCCCCTCAGATGTTCAGTTCTCAGTGTGTGTGGTAGAAGATTTAATACATTGGCAATAGATTAAAAAATAACCAGATCACAAATTTTGTTTTTTAATCTAACCCATGTAAAAGTTTCTGGTCCAAATTTCAAGGGTGAGTTCAGCTAGATTGCATTTATTAACTAATAGGAATTTATTTCTGTAAGCATTGTTATGTTGAAATTAACTTCATTGAAAAACCGAGGCGGGGGGGAGATTACCCATCCTGTTCAGTGCACTCCTTGCCTCTCCAAATGTCTGTCCTCTTTTGAGGGTTTTCATTCACCTGAGGCAGGTGGGAGAGTATCCTAGAAGCAGGATTCAGCTAGACCTTCTATTCAGACCAGGAAAAATGTGGCAAAAATATTCCAATAACAAGAATCCTAAGCCTAGGGTGCCAGCCACCAAAGTGACATGCTACAGTCACATACCTTTTATATTGAAGCGAGTGGGGGGGTGGGTGCTTGTACAGTATTTGTAGCCAATCCAGACATCTTCAACACCACTAGTTTCACCCATGAGAAGCCATTTCTAGCATCCATTTATGCTAATTAACATTATGCTCAGTGCTGATCAGAGCTATAGACGGCAGAAGGGTTGGGGTGGCGCCTGCAGGGTGTGGCTTCTGATTAGACTGTGAAACACTCAAGAGCCACCCCCGGTTCAGGATGAACTTTCAACCTGAAAGAAGTTTTTATATTATTAGCCACCTTTTGTGGGGTGATTATACCTTGCTAAATGTAGGATCTAATTGAGTCCTCACACCTCCCTATGAAGTAAATATTATTATGACCTTTATAGATGAGGAAAGTACAGCAGAGTCGAGGTGATTTGCCCAGGGCCACACAGCTTCAAGCCACGGAGACTGAGCGGGGCCCCCAGAACAGGTGGCCCTAACCACCATACTTTCTGGCCTCCCAACACAAGGCAGCTGAACAAATGAATGCCCCTACCACACGTGTGCCCACAGGGCACTTAGGGAGAATCATGTTTCGGGCTTCAGACCAGTGGCCAAAAGAAATGTCCAGCCTAGGAGGACACAACATGCCCAGTGTCCTGTCCCACTGCAGAGTGATCATGGCCCTCTCTTTTCCAGGACTCAGATGAGCAGCAGCTCGAGAGCGGTGACCCCTTGGGGGCACTGTGAGAGCCTGGCCAGTCAGCCATCGCCCACCGCCATCTGGCCAATGGAGCCACCTCGAAAAGGCTATCATCTGTGAATTCTCAGCACCAGTTGTCCTTTGGGAACATAAGATCCTTTAACATTTTAAAGTATGAAGCACTCAGAGGCGGTACCTCATCTCTTTGGTTAATCTGGGGTTTATTTTGCTTCCATGGATGAGAAACCACATTACTAAATCCACCCACCAACCCAGAGGGCCTTTTCCTTCCCTCCTCCAACCCTTCACTGTCCTTCCTCTGTACCTTTCAGATGGCACTCACTACCTTCTGCCCTACATCACAGGTAACTGTAAGCTAGTCTTATTTTCCTATTAGATTGTAAGCTCCCAAATATAGGACTTGCATCTTTCATCTTTGTATCCCAGCACCTAGCTCGGTGCCTGGCACATGACATGTGCTCAATAAATGTTTATGGAAAAGAAACAAAGCCAACAAAACAAATCCAGTCATTGGGAAAACAAAAACCCTGTTCATCACAGAAGGGGTCAAACTTTGAAGGCCAAATCCACTTTTTCAGAGCTAATTAGGGCCATTTCAATTAGCTAATATCAGCCTTATGTATTCTTCTTTGTTAATTCAGTTTTGTTTGCTTGTTTATGTGTCTGCTTTAAGAAGACACTTCACACCCTAGGATGACTGTAATCAAAAAGCTGGGAAATAACAAGTGCTGGCAAGGATGTAGAGAAACTGGAACCCTCATACATTGCTGGTGGGAATGTAAAACGGTGCACCCACCATGTAAACAGTTTGGCAATTCCTCAAAAAGTTAAACCAAAAGTTACCATATGATCCAGAAATCCCACTCCTAGGAATATATATACTCAAGAGAAATGAAAACATGTCCACCCAAAAACATGTATATGCATGTTCATAGTAGCCTTATTCACAATAGCCACAAGGTAGTAACAACCCAGATGTCCATCACCTGATGAATAAATGACAAACCATTAACAATGCAATGTTATTCAGCCCTAAATGGAAAAGAAGTACTGATACGTGCAGCAATATGGATGAATCTTGACAATATTACGCTGAGCGAAAGAAAACTAGTCACAGAGGACCAAATATTGTATGATTCCATTGATAGGAAATATTTAGAATAGACAAACTCACAGGCACAGAAAGTAGATTAATGGTTACCAGGGGGAATGGGAAGTGACTGCCAGTGGTATGAGGTTTCTTTTGGGGGGTAATCAAAATATGCTGGAATTTGACAGTAGTGATGGTCATACCAACTTATGAATATTACAAATATTCATTGTTTAATGAATTGTACACTTTAAAGCAGTGAATTTTATGGTATGTTAAGTATATCTGAAAAAAAATTTAAAGACATGATAGCTAGAATTAATGCATCATCTTTCCAAATATGTTAGATGGCTTGGCTTTGAAGGTCTTTTTAATACAATTAATCTGTCAAAGAAAGTTGAACATGTCCCTCCCATCTTGGGTGCATGGCTGGAGCAATTTGCACCAAAACTCCTTCTTCAGAGGGCAAAGGGAAACCTCTGCCCAGATATCGAGCAGGTGTTAGGCAGAGTTAAAATTAGCATTTTGGGATGTTAGGGCCCATTAAAAAGTTTTAAAGGGCCTCGCACAAAGCTTGTACCTGCTGTAGCCTTTTTTTTTTTTTTTTTCTGAAGAACAAGCCAGCCTTGAAGTGAAACCATCACCAGAGAAAGGAGGGGATGGAGGAACGGAAAGGCACCAGGTCTTGGATACACTGGAGGGGAGGGGGTTATGGAAGGTTATTGAATGAAGAAAATCCTGCAGACTGAAGGGACCTGTAATCCGCGCCGCCGCTCAGCCTTTACTGTTAATGCCGCCTCCAGTGAAACTTGGAACAGCGCCCCCTCGTGGCCACTAGCCCACATTGCGTACTCTGCTTCCTCACTATATTGCAAAGTGTCCGTGCTAGAATCAGGGAGGGTCAGACTGCAGACAGCTTGAGACCACCATGCTCCAGTGAGCATAGCTTCAGAGGTGCCTCATGCCCCCCACAACGCCCCTACAAGTAAAACAGTTTCACATTGTAGGGAAAGTGAAGGAAAACGGTCAAGGCCCTTCAGATGTTCAGCATCTTGCTGAGCACTTGATGTAAATATGCACGTGTGCCCAGGTGTTCCTTGGTTATTGTCTAATATAATTGCACATGTGCACCCAGATGTCCTGAGTTATGGACTTAAGTATAAAGGACGAGTGGCTCTGATCCACAGTGCCCCACCCCCCATGTCATTACTGCTGCTGGAGGCTGTTGCTGCAAGCTGTTGCTGCCAGTGCCCCAGGATCCCGAGAGGCCACTGCCACTGCTGCTGCTAAGGACTGAGCTTGTATCATCTGCCAATGGCTCCTGTGATCTATTCCAATTACCTAGCATGGACCTGTGTGTGAGGGGTCTATGACCCAGCCTGGCCTGTGAGGGATCTGGTGACCCAGTCTGTACAATGGGTTTGAAGGGTCTGTTGGCCCTACCCCTTAGCCCGGACAATACAAATGGAAAACTTACTGTAACTAAAATAATGAAACATTTTGGGCTTTAGTTATGAATTACTTCAACCATACAATTGCCTAGCTTTACAATTGGCTTCGTTGGCAGGAGTCCGACAATAGCCACAGCCAGACAACTAGTGTAGCAATAGCCCTAGCAATACATATGTTTATGTGGTTTATACGAGGGATCTATGAAAGGATTCCTATTTTTTAATTCCATTTTTCCACGAGCTCTTTGAAGTACCCTCATATATGAGTTTCTTCTTGAGATTATTAGTGGGTGGAGGAAAGATCCTGGAGTGGCAAAAAAAAAGTTTCAAAAACAACCCATCCAACCACACTTTTACAGGTGAGAAGTTGAGGCCCAGGGAAACTGAGCAGCCACAGGATGGGACATGGCTGGAAGAATCGAGATTCCCTTGCCCCAAGCCTAGGGCTCCCTTCCTCCCATGGTCCCTGGCCCAATGCTCACACCCATGGATTTTTTTTTTTTTTTTTTTTTTTTCCTTTTTGAGACCGGCCGCACCGCGCTCAGCCAGTGAGCGCTGTGAGCGCACCGGCCATCCCTATATAGGATCCGAACCCGCGGCGGGAGCGCTGCTGCACTCCCAGCGCTGCACTCTCCCGAGTGCGCCACGGGCTCAGCCCCACACCCATGGATTTCGGTTCTAGATTTCAATATGGTGTGAAATTTTGGGTTAGTTCACCCAGTCTCCCAGTGGAGGATTTCTCACAGTCTCACCATGTTTTACCAATTTTCAACAGTCTAGTACCTTATTCAGTTTACATTATTTTACTGAAACTTAGGACATAAAACTTCATCTGAACCTCAAACTTCTTTAGCACCTTTATTCCACATCTCTGGGGTTTGATAAAGTCCCCTACTGGAAATGGCTTTCTCCAATTAAAGTGTGCAGAATAAAATCCAAGTCCTTCAGATGTGCGCCAGCGTGGGAGCAGAGTCCAGGCCACTGCCCTGAGCGTGCACCATAGGGAGCAGCAGACAGGTCGGGCCCATCAAGAGGAGAATAAAGTAAATAATTTAAGGGATTTTAGCAGTGGGCTGCATCTTCATGTAGGAAAATGACATCACAGTTCAACCAAGCCAGGCGCTAATAAAGAGAAGGGCACTCAACAAAACCTAATTCGTGTTGTCCAGATCTATATATTTTCCTGCTATTGTCCCAAGCTCCTGTTATTTGTGTCCATTTCTCAGTAAGGCCTACTATTTTTTGGGATCCCCTGAAGGGCAGACAAGAGGTAGTGGCGTGTGTGTGCCCTCTTTAGTGACATCTGAGATTTATAATCAGAAGAAATAGGTTCCACTGTAGGCTCTTTCACTTAGTAATTAAGGGAAAAATTTAAACCAACCTCACATGGTTGTTGAGGATCAAGTATCAACTGCAGGCAGGCATTATTGTTGCACTGAGTGAGAACTCAAAGACCCAACTCCAAATTCGCTTAAACAACAAGGGGGATTTATTGGCTAGTGGAACTGGAAGGCCCAAAGGAGGGAGGCTTCGGGTCGATTCCATTCAGGGCTCAATGACATCATCAAAGACCCAGTGACTTCCCACTCTCCTTCTGAGGGGTCAGATCATACAAAAGGTTTTCTCAGGGGGTAAACTGGCCTTAGTGGTTTTAGGCTCCACACCCACATAGTGTAGGTTCATTCAGGAGCTGGCTCAGAAGGGTGAGGAAACTTCTTTTCCACAACCACCCTTTCCTCCTGCCACACACACAAGCTTCCCCTTGGCATCTGGAAATGCCATGTGCCATGGGCACAGACAAAAGATAGGCCACCCAGATTAGCTTAGCCTGATCAGGCCCATCCAGTCAACTCCTCCAGTAAATGAGTGCTCTCTCTTCGGTGCTAGTGGGACACACATTATACTGCACTGTAACCAAATGAGGGGACACACAGCAGGCCCTCTGCATGGGGCGGAGTGCACTGGTGCTAGATGATCTCTCCTTCCCAGCTCTTGGCAACATGCCCCTCCACTCGTGAGCCCTGGGACAGACGTCAGTGGAGAATTCAGCTCCCACCAACCACGCCTTCCCTGCAGCAGGGTCTTCGTCTGCCACAGTTCCAGAATGGTGTTAGGCACGTAGTGAGCTCTCAGGAAAGATCTGCACAGCGAATGGAGCTTGGAACAGTGTTGTGCCAGTGGGACCCACCCCACAGGCACGTACAGGACAAATGCTGCATTCACAGACCAGTGTCCCCTCGTTCCTGCCCAGCTGCTGGACACAGGATGGAACACGACAAGGCTACCGCTGTTGTCACCCCAGTGGACTGGCAATAATGCCAGAGGTGTAACTATGAAGGCAGGAATAGGGGCGGTGAGCCTCTACCCAAAATCTCATCTGGTCTTAGAGCAGAAAGGGAGGAGCAGGAAGGAAAAAATAACCTCACCCAACCACTTATGCAGAAATTCTGAAACATTTTTTAACTACAAACGTGTTACTTATTAA